AAGGTCTTCAAGGCCATGGAAGTTCAGAGTCACATTTTCAAAATGCCAAAATGTACCTGTATACAAGAGATAACTGTATTGAATTGATTTTCTTCCATTTTCAACACCTTTTTTTCATATAACAAAGTAATCAATTTACTGTCATTTTTAAATGAACAACTGAGAAAATTGTTGACATAGGAAAAATATCAATAGAACAATTTTAAATGTCCAGTTTGCTCCATTCTGAGATTCTGAACATGGTGAATGATTGAATCTGACAAACTGTAAAGATATGAGTTAATTATTATTTCCATTTTTTGACACTTTATTACACAATTACAGGTTTACCATCTTTTTTATATAATCAACTAACAATATTGTTAAGATGCAGAAAATGTCAAAAGAACACCTTTACATATCTAATTTGTTCACAGATGAGATTGTTAACATGCCTAATAATTAAATCAAAGGATGCGTATTATGAATATTCATCAGTTCTGTAAGTTTCAAGCCAAAAGGTAAAATGGTTTTCCGTTTATGGTGTTATCGGTGCTGCATATATGCTGAAAAAAGAGAAAAAATAGCCTAAATTCACTAAAAATGACCCAATCATGCTGATTTTCGAACTTGACCTGCGTATTATAAATATTCATCAGTTCCATAAGTTTCAAGCCAAAAGGTAAAATGGTTTTCCACTTATCGTGTTATCGGTGTTGCATATATGCTGAAAAAAGTGAAAAAACAGCATAACTTCCACATAGATGGCCATATCATGCTGATTTTCCAACTTGACCTGCATATTATGAAAGCTCATCAGTTTAAGTTTCAAGCCAAAAGGTAAAACGTTTTTTCACTTATCATGTTATCGGTGATCAAAGTGCACGGCGACGACGACAGACGCAGGTGATGGCTATATGTACAGACACATCTGTGTCTGTACATAATAAACTTCATAGTGTCGACTTTCAGTGTTCATAAAACTATACTTCCTTTTGTAACTGCCCTTTGCAGATCCAAATAATATTTCCCCTCACCTTAATCCAACTTGAAAAAGTTGGCAAAAGATCCGCTGTGCCAAGCTCCGCATTTCTTTTTCCTGCCTCGGTTTTCTCAAAACAAATGACAATATACAGAGTGTGTTACTATTTACAAAGTAACTAACGTTGTGACAGCACGACGGCATTACGTTATGATGTCATAAGTAAATGTTTTCGTTTCCCCTGCACTACATGAAAAACAGTGGAAAAGATATCTGTAACAGAATCCACGACGAAGTAATATTAAGACAAAGACATCTGAAGGTACTGTCCCACTTATTGAATAGAAACGTAACGGGTTCGTTAGTCACGTCTCGAGTAAACGTGGTGCTCTAAGTGGTATAATTGATCTCAAATACGATACTGTACGTGACTCTTTACGATAGGTGAGACATTTTATTTTTATTTTACTACAGTTGTTGTATCCTTCGTGTAATCAAACAACCTATAATGACAGATAAAGTTGTTGTGAATTGTCAAACAAGTCTTTGTGTAAAAGCAAATATTTATTGTAATCAGACCGGGAAAATAAAACTTAATGCTGCTTTGAATGTTCAATTGTATCATCAAACAGCACTTCAAATCATCACATCAAACCACTGTGATAAAAAACAAATCGAAAATCCAAGAGCACAACATTATTCAATGCAGGCACATTCCACAGCTTCAGACAGGCAAAAACTGTATGTAATATCAAGGAGTTATAACTCCTTGGTAATATTATACTTGTTATTCTGACCTTTGCTCAGGTCCAGTTAAACTGACATCTGACGCCGTATAAAACTTTACCGCAAGAAGGGAAAAGGACTATACATGTAGGACAAAGTCCAACCTGCATGTTAGACATTAGATATCTTAACTTAAATGGTCACACAGTCAGCATCAGACCAGTGGTCAGCAATTTTAAGGGGGATCTTTTTCCTGATAAAGTGGACCTTTTTATCCCCTTGGCTGATCTAACTTGAAAAATATCACAGAACATACATAAAATTTTGATTTGATTTAGACTTTTTTTGGCCTAATAGGTGTTTTTTCAAACTCCTAAAACCCACTTTGCTTGTGATGACACATTGTTCGCTCTTGTAAATGAGTGGACACAATGATCACATAACCATTCATTTAAGTGTTTTTTTGATGGTGAATCAACTGGAGAAGTGAGTCTTGAATGCTGCTTGCTATTCCCAGACTGGTCAAAAACTCTCTTGGGTTAGCCTGCCCAGCCACTAGAACTGATAGTGCCTGAAATTATATTAAAAAAAATTAATATATTAATGAAACAAAATAAAATATTAAAAACTATCATATCAAACACAATTTCCGTGTTTCAATGATTTCAAAATATTACCAACACTTTTGCATATCAATAAAACATGTTTGAATAAAAATGTTGCTGTGGTAATCTAAGTTCCCATAACAATACTGGATCTAGACCTACATGTAAAAATAACAAGACCTAACATAGCAGAACTATCTTCAGTACTCATATCCATAATAACCATTTTGTACAAAACTGCTAATTTGAAAATTAACAGAAAAATATATTAACAATGAAAAATCTTTCTAAATTTCATGAATTTATACAAGAAAGGACTAATATTATCAATTTTGATAAGGGAAATATTACTTCAATTTCATCCTTTGAGAGTCCAGCTACTGCATTGTCAGCTTCATTGTGAATCTTTTGCTCCAAATTTGACTGCAAATGAAAGAAACTGTATATTACACAATTTAAAATTAAAGTGATTTTGTATGTAATTTTGTATGACATCAGTAAATTCTGCAAACCTATCTCAATGAATGGGAAGCAAATGGATCACCTGTCCTTAACACATCTATTGTTACTTCTTTCAATTCTACCAAAATACAATTCATGGATGTTCTATACCGTGTACAAGGGCTGCGGATTGATTTTACACTAGACATTAACAGATATGTCTCTGGCTAAATTATGGCATTTTTCTTCACTTGAGTTGGAGAAAAGTGCACATCATTAATCTGCAGCCCTGGTAGAGGGTAGATGTTCTCGTACTCTATTAACTCTTACCACTTCAACCTCCTTTACAGAAACCTGAACTTGTGCTACACGTCGATTCAGCTTGTTTATGTCTGTCAAGAGAAGGATAAATATAAGACTTAGTGTTAAAAGAACTGTATAGATATATGGATATGGGCTGGATATAAAGTATTTTTAAAAAGTGACTATAAATGAATGAACAAATCAAACACAAATTACGTAGCTAAAAATAACTAAAGATTTTTTCACTTGCTATTTCCAAAAATCATCAAAACTGATCATTTTATTCATAGAACATGACATATATGTCAGATGTTTTTGTTTTAATCTATGCCTTTTATGCAAAAATCAAAAGTTGCCAATACATGTACTAGAAATATTCTTCAAATCAATTACTGGAGATAACAAAACTCAGTTATGAATTATTCAATACCAGATGAACCACATATTCTGTGTGCTTGAGTGAATGAGTGTGTGCCTGTGTGTGTATGTGATACCAATGGTGCATTCGTCTCTTTTTTTACAATAAAGCTTGTAAATCATCTCTAAACACCCATTACCCTTCTGTGCATGTGCATATTCAGATTTAGCCTGCTGTCTTTCCTCTTGGTCAAAATACCACACAGTTAAAGCATACCTGCAAAGCACACAGAAGAAGTCACTAAAACCTCCAAAAAACACTTCAAAAATAATTGAAAAGCACCTGGTGTTAATGTCCAAAGGAAGAACAACAAAAAAAAAAAGTAAAAATTAGGCATCAAATTCAATGCTATTTTAAATTCAAAGAAAGGTTGATACTGATCATATAAAAGTAAAAACATCTTCTTGAGGCAGTTGGAACACTGGTAATGATTTTTTAATAATTGTTTTGTTCCACACTAAAATAAACATAACAAAATTGAGAATGAAAAAATCTGCTGCATTGTAAACAAAATACACCTCACAAAAGCAAACTTAAGCTGGAAAAATCAGACAACCTGGCATTTAAAGTGGGTTTAATTTGCATTAAAATATCTTCAATAGGCACACACACACACACACACACACACACACACACACACACACACACACACACTGTCACACACACACATATGCTGTATCTCAGATATCATAGCTAACAAAATTCCTTTACTAGTAATATTCTTTTTATCATTTTTGCAGTCACAATATCTTACATTTTCTCTGTCATACCTATTTTTAAATGCTGGTCTTACTTCATGCGGATTGCGTCTATCAGACCAAAAAAACAGCATTCTGTTCATAAGAGGTGCTACGTCCACATAATCACCGGAGCCTTCAGGAAATAGACGTAACACACCACCATATTTCTAAAAATAAATAAGGTCTTGTGGTAGAGATTAAAGTTAAGAAAAAATATCATTAATAATAATACCATTACCTGACTACAGATGTCATTAAAAACTTTATTTCTACTGCTCAATGTGCCATCAGTGCTATATTCTGAATTGTCCATATTCAACATTCTTAATTTTAGTGCACTGCCTCCAATGTAAAAAATGCTAAAATAAAAAGAATGTAATTTCTTAAAATTCCAAACTAGTATAAGTACCAGTATTTAACTAGAATACATCTCAGTTTATTACAGATGCAATTTATGGTGAAAGCCTGTAAGTTTCATCCAACCATGTACATATACAAAACATATACCTCCGAGTTCCAATCTTTATTTAGATATAAGATGCAAGTTATCAATCTTCCATCTTTACAAGGGTTGTCAACATGTTGCATATAGTAAGCACCATTTCCAGGGTAGCAGGCAGCCATTGCCTGGATGTAGAAATAATTTAATTATTTCATATGTGTGTCCACTTCAACACTGGAAATGTACAGATATGTACACTGGTATTTTTGACTGTGCAACATTAATTCTTTAAAAGAAAAAAGTTGTTACAGCGTACATCAACAGTATACAAAAACAAGACCATGTAAACTTTATATGCAAAGGAACTAGTTATAATAATGGTTGTGTGACTAAAGGAAACAAACAAAAGTAAGCCTTACTTTTGTCCTTCCAGCAATAAAAAGATTTCCTTTTAAGTGTTTATTGAAATAGGAGACCAAGTCATCCATTTGAGATACAGCAGAACAAATATAAGGAAAGTCTTCCTTTTCTGTGCCCTGAAGCCACCCTATGATATCACTGCGAATGTCAGCTTTTGTGACTTTCTCATCATCATTCCCACTTGTTCGGCCACCTGCCAACATCCCCTGCTTCATAACTCCTTTAGAATCAAGTTTTTTAATGTCTTCAAGTACATGATGGCAGAGTTCATCTTTCAATAAACCATCTATTACACAGTAGCCTTTTTCGTCAAGTTCTTTTGTAATAAATTGACCGAGAAATTCTAAATCTTGTGACTTGGACGTAAGGCAAGGGACGGATAAAAGTTTCAGAGGCCTTGTGTCATATTTCGGTTTTGAAGTTCCGATTGTATCGGTTCCACTTTTCATGGCGGTGCGTGTGTTAAAATCGTCCAGTTCTTCCTGTTCTGCTTTTCTTTTTTGGTGAAGGATTTCTTTGACATCATTCTTTCTACAAATGTTTTTGTGAAATTTCCAGTGTTGCACTTGATGTTCTCTGCTACAATACAGAACTTGTTTACAACGAGAACATCGCCTTAAATCAGTCTTTTTGCCACAAACTTCACAGACCAACTCACCGTCTGCGTAACTCTGTTTTTCCGCCATATTGTTTATATTCAGAAAAACTAAAGCTATACTGAGATTTTGACCGCCGTTTCGCTTTGTCGGTGCGTGTTTCTGTTGCGGCGGAGCACACACATAATTGTATTGATAGATGCTTTCTTGAAGTTATCTTCACGTGCTTTTTTCTGATATTTTCATAAGCAGATCTGGCTCCTGTTATTACATCAATATTTCCAAGACCCTGAATCTGCTGACATATCAGTAGGAGCTTTTCTATATCGTTAGAATCTTAAAAAGGAGGCTTTTATTTTCAAAGAATAAAACAACTTACCTGAGCCAATGCGTAAAGGGAAATGTGTAAGAATTACCATCAAATTTCGGCTTCTGAACTTATGGGTACCATCGCACTGTTAGTGGTGGATTTAGAGGAGGGTGGGGGTGGGGGGTTGGGGGGGGGGGGTCAGGGGGATCCTAGCTGATCCTCCCCTTCGGTTTCTGAAAAATATAGGCCTACCACACCAATATTCCCCTCTTGAAATCAGAATTTTGAATTTAGAATTTTCTAAACCGTACCAAAGGACACGGTTTGCCCTCCAAAACGCCAAAAACGGCAAAGTGATTTCCATTTCGTCAGAAAATAAAATAAAAAAATCCGTTTTTTCTTTCATTTAATACTTTTTTGCCTAGTTAAAAAGTTTTAATATTTCGGCAAAGGCTGCGCACATGATTTTGACATTTTGCAAACAAGTATATACCTTGCCAGACAGATAATTGCGTTGCAAGGAATTAACGCTCCGCACAGAGGTACCGGGTATTCCCTGACTGGTGTACTGTACCTATACAAAGGCGGCGCCCAAAGCATCAAGAACTTACCACCAGAAAACAGGATCCATTGTTTTTACGGCTTTTCTTCTACAAATAAACGGAGACAACCTGTTCCCTTTAGAAAAAATCATATTGGAAAGAATACCTTGCCGCTTCAGAGCCCTAGTAGCGGCCAGGTGAGGCCAGATTATCGCTGTGACTAGACACCGATTTGAACATCCTTTGTGAAGCGTATTACTTTTCATAGACGACAATTTGAAAAAAATGGAGATTGAAATAATACTTTTAATGGTTGTTCTATTAAAACAAGACGTAAACCCCTGTTTTCATCCATAAGTCGGACAAGTCGGAAAAAACATAGAAAAAATGATTTGAAAAAAAATTCCATATTTAATGTCAACTCTCTCTCTCTCATTTATCTTATACAAAGACAACTAAATAAATAAGACATAGCGCTTTATTATACACGTATTTAGCTAAATCAAACTTGGATATTTAATGATGAGATAATGATATACACGTGACTGTATAAGACTTTACAACGACTGTTGTTAGTAAATGCATAATTTCAAACTGCGTACCACAGTATATCCCTACTGTCCCGTTCAGAAAAAAATGGAATGATGTATTTTCCTAATCAACCCCCGGGGCCACCCAAACACACACACACACACACACACTAATATTAATTTCCCTTTTATACCAATAAATTTAGTAATACCGTGTTATTTGTCATGGAATACCATACGAACCTTGGAAAGTGAAGATACCGAAATGTTACAAAATTCTCTCGCGCCCTGGTATCCCTTTTCTCCCCACTTAGTTGATCCCCCACATCGCTACGTATACTTTCCCGCACCTTACCCCACCCCCTCCGTCGTCATTCCCCCATCTTAAAGACACTCCTGTCCTGGTTAAGATGCGAAATGTGTATAATATAATTATTAATCTTAAAACCTTAAAACTGGTATAGCATTTTTCTCTCAAAATTACGCCTTTTGAGGGCCCACAGTGAGAATTTTTCAAATAATCATTCAAAAACCGATGTGGGGGAGTAACGACGCTGTGGCGATGCGAATTACTTATCTGAGTCTTGATATTTTGTGAATGTTCAACAATGTCTTGTAAAGATGAGGCAGTATTCCGTGAGAGGTATTTATTATGTTTTTGTAATTATAAGATAAAATAAAATAAAGTGATGGTGGAATTGCAATCTAGACAGTGCAGCGTTGGGTAACAGGCTACATGCAGCCCTTCTGGTCAGATACCAGCTGGTCTAGTTCTAACCGGCATTTTAATTGCTTTTATAAAAAGCAAGTTGGAAACCCTTTCAATCAAACACAGAATAAAAATGACCGGCTTGGCAGTCTTTAAGCTTTTGAACATAAACAAACCTTAGTTATTGTCAGTAGCTTGGAAGACAGTCTGGTACGTTTTATTGACATCTGTGGACTGACTCGGGCATCAGTGCCCTACTGATTTGATTTTTCTGTTTTTAATTGAAATGAAACGTGTATTATTAATAAATAAATGATGAAATTTATTTTAAAAAAATTATAAAGCTATAATTTGTTTTACCATGCCCACGTAATTTTGCATTAAATAATCACATTTTGACAGTTCTTTTCTCAATTTTCGTTTTGATTTTCTAATATGAACTGCCGAAACGACTTTAATAAAAGCCTTTCAGTTAAAAATAAGCTAACAGCGCTGTAAAAGAGGGTGAAAGTTTCCCCTGAGCACTGAACAAATAGTGATTTGTCAACTTTAATTTCCCTCTTTGCATCCTTTAGCAGTGACTTTTATGTCAAAATCAAAACATAAAATTTACACCTTTTGTACATTTCTCCCTCTTACGAAATAAAATGGAGAATTTACACACAAAGTGAGGGGAAAAGACGAATGCATTATCAGGCGTGGTATTGACACTATTTATATCAGTAAAACCATAGAAGTAGAGAAAGTTTCTCTATTTCTATGGTAAAACGCAGCACTGCACAGATTTCGTTTTTTATAGCAAACGTCAATCAAACCCTGCGGTGTGTGTGTGTGTGTGTGTGTGTGTGTGTGTGTGTGTGTGTTTTTTTGGGGGGGGGGAGAGAGATGTCCCTTTACTCGCCCTCTCTGGATGCATTATATATGATTAAAACCCGTCCGTAATGTGGGAAGAGACTGCAATCGGATCCCATCATAACTTGCCTCACATTTAAGACAAAATATATAACAAACATATTTTAACTGTAGGATGAAAAGATATAATAACAAAATATTGTAAAATTCTATTTCTTTATTTTAAAACATTTTGTAACTGTTGCAGTTAAAACATTCATATATTACACAACATACATTCAGTATCTGATTTTTTTCATGCTGTAAAATAACATGCAAAATGTAAAACTATGAACAAAATCTTCCATATCAGCAACAATGAACTATAAGAGAAACTTTTCACGTTTTAAAACCTGTAACAGCAGTGATTCAATGTTCAAAACATCATAATCTAATATTGGATCTAATATCGAAATCTGCTACTCTCCATGCAGTTGAATACAGTGATTAAGCACTTTATGACCAATGTTTTAAGATTTTTGGGGTCACACATTTCAAGTCAAATATAATAAGTAGAAGAGGTGCATAATCAGAAGATATATCAGTTTAAAGGTTTCTTTTATGAAAGTCACCAGAAATATACCAACAAAATAAGGGAAAAAGGAATGGTTTGTCAGAGCAGAATGTCTTTTGCAGCTCTGATAAATGACTAACGACCTTTGGACCGTTAAACACTGACTTACTTTGGGACCATAGGAGCAGGCAAAGCAGAAGGATCTGTAAGCTGTTCCACATAATATATATTCTACTCCAATACATATACCCATCCCTAGGATGCATTTTAAACATTATATTAACCCTTGTAGTATGAGCATACACCCTTTTCCCATACTTATAACAACCCCTCACCCCTCATTTGACAGAATAGTATATTCCAGTTCTCCTTGTGAAATGAAATATGTGACATATTGTATAAATATCAAATTCTTTTACATTATCTAATGACTTCTGTTGGGAATCCTGCTAAAACTGAAAGGCATGTTGCCCTTCATGCCAGCAAACTTCCCCCAAGCACCAAATGGAATCACAACACAGGTACTGTTGTCTTGGGAACCAAACTGTAGGGCCTGGTCTGTGATAACCTTGGCTCCTTCCATGGGGTTCTTACAGTTTGAGATAGTGTCAGTGATCTCCTGGTCATTCATTACAAATGATATGCCATCTGTTATCAGCACTAAAAATGAGTCCTTGGAGTGTCTCACCTGAAATTGAGAAAGAAAAAAATTATCTATGACCAATCATTATAATTCTGACAACAATATTATATTGTGAATTTGGTGTAGGAAACATGTTCAGCACTTTTTTTCTTAATTTCTATATCATTTTCTTTTAATAACCCCTATATGAAACCTTCATGAAGTAAAATGCCATTGTGCAGTATTACATTTACTGTCAGTGCATTGCTGAACAAGGAAACAAAAGGTTATTTTTTGGTGAACAAAAAAGTGAAGTATTTCAATAAAAAAAGTTTCTTCTAACTTACACCAACAGACCGTGTATCAGGTACAGCACTAACACCAAACGGCTTTAAATCCTGGTCCCCAATGCTCCTGGACATGGCTAGTATCCCATTGACCAGTGGCCGACCAAGACTGTCCCAAATAACAGACCCACCACTGCTTTCAATCCTCTCTCTCTCGCTTGCCATCTCTGGTTCATGATCAGCAGTCAGCCTGATAGCTTTACTCTGCCGACACAAGATGGCGCATGTATCTCCAACATGTCCTATGACAAGTTCAACTCCATTACGTAGCAGGCATACTGTAGCTGTGGTTCCAGTGTATGCTAGTGTTACCTCTTCTGAGTTACTGGGTTCAGCTTTAATCCAGTCTGAAAACAGGGATTATCAGAATATTAAAATATGATAAAAAGCTTTATGTCATTCTGTGCTTAGCACCAGAAGCTTTTACATATTCATTAGAGCTAAAAAAAAAACTTTAGAAGAATATATTTTCAACTTTCTTATAATTAAGCACTATTTAATATGGTATATACTACATATGCAAGTACGTAGTAATAAATCAGGATGTCATAAATACACAGAAGCTATTTTTATGTTTATTTCTGGCCAGGAAAACATGTATCAAAAAAGTACTGAAATATATATATTGTCCAGTTTAAAAAGGGATTTCCAAAACATACTCATAGAACTCAACTGGTCACAATGCCATTGGATGCATGTGGCCAAAACAAATTGTTTGAGGGAGTTAACAGGATATTTGAAATATACTGAAAACAGCATATGACCCTATGATAAACACATGCAAACAACGGATATAATTAATGAGATGTGCAACATAAAAAATTACCTTTTTGTTTCTGTTTTGAATAAGTAAACCTGTTGAACATGTTATCGACATCAACAAATGACCTCTTCAAGACCATTTGAAGGTCTTTTGTGCGTTGTAACCAGTACTTGATATGATCTTCAAGTCTGCTGTGGACAAAGTCAGCTGCCTCAGCAGTCCCATGGCCATCAAAAATAGCAAAGTATAAAATATCTGGTGTCAGCTCAGAAACTTTGAAGCGGTCCTGATTCTCTGTCCTTCGACCAATCACTGTGGCATAACCTATATCATCGATTGAGATCTGTGGTATAGGTTCACCCCGTCGAGCACTCTGTTTCTCATTGAGAGGAAGGTTCAGACGATTATTCCAAGATCCTATTGTATCAAAATTAACTCCATCCTGCCTTTCTCCTTTATTTTCTGGGTCGTATAATGCCTTTGCCCTTTTAACAGGTGGTGTAAAAATTCCACATTTGGGGCAGAAATTTGTCTGTACTGTAACTGCCAGTGAAGGAGGTATCTTTTTCAGGCAAACCTGGTATGTTAGTCTTGATAAACTTCTTAAACCCATGTCTAGAGTTTTTCCTTTCTCTGTGTTAATTGACCACACTTAATATACAGGTACCTGTACAATGCAAAATAGAACTATAGGAATTAATGCTGTACACAAAATATGACTCTCAGTCTTGGACTGGCAAGTCTAGAGCTCTTTCTTTCTCTCTTTCTTCCATTGTGTTTATGCCCAAAGGCACTGAAACAGATTTATCCCGATCCATTATTATCACTCAAAGCTTCATACTTACCTTATCTATAATATTAATATTATATACGTACTACTAAACTAGTAATATTATATATATATACTGTAATATAAATGTAACACTTAGTAAGACTTACAATAACAGTACGATATAACCACAGGATCAATCATACACACATCGCCTGTTCTAACTGTTATAAAATCATGCGTACATGTCCACACCTTAAATACCAATCGATGATGTTTGTTTACATTCAAGTTTCTGTAAGGTGAACTTCAATGTCAGAGATGTTAAAAAAATAGGTCAACGGACGAAGAATGTCCGACCTGACCTGGGCATAGATAAAGCGCCATACGGTACAGTGATACGGTAGATCTAACCTAAACATCACGTTATCTTATCTTATCTTGCTTTTCATACGACATATTTTATGAAAATACAATTTGCGGCCTTATCCTAATTAGGTGGAGAGTATATATTAAGACTAGCTGAAGTGAGGGTCCCAGCAAGGTAAATAGTGAACTTTGGCTTCACTCCAGTGATCGTTTTGTGTGAAATTATAAGGCAAAATGATTAACTTGTTAAAAGATGATGTCACTAGCTATGCAAGTTAATCCTTATGAAAGTTAACAGTAAATTCTAGCTGTACATAATACTTACTTTCTTATGAAGGGGCCGACATTACAACTGCAAGCATCCCTCGCCGGTGCACTGTTTTTGTTTTGTAAGTAAATAGTTCTCGTCTTGTCGATAGAGGGCAGCATATGTTCGCAGTACTATGATACGAGTTATTAAGATTTTATTATATCATTTGTTATTGGAAAATTATTTGCATGAATTCTTCTTTCTTCTGTGTGTTAGACACCTTTAATGCGTTACTTTTCTATACAAAGATTTGATTCAAGCAGACGTGCGACCCCCCCTTTTTTCCGTTATCCCTGCACTAACATTACCAAAATAAAGGCATTAAGATGGTCCTTGGAATGAAAAACGCTATTTTATTTTGGTATCATGGTGAACATAGCTCCAAGTAATTTAGTAGAGAAGTATAACCCTAAAGGTCTATGTGTAAGATAAGTGTGTGTACTCAACATGTTTTACCCTCTTTAAATAAAGTTTGTCATTATTATTATGAAATAATAATTAAAGATGTTCCCACCATTTCAAAATGTTTTTGAAAAATAAGCAATTTCACCTGCTCATGAATCATTTCTAGACATATTCCTAAACTTGGTGGACTCTTAAGTTATGCATAATTTTATCTAAACAATTTGTTCTAAATGACTGGCCTTTTTTCCTGTACAGTTTTGAAGAAAATTCCATCTCTAAATACTGCCATGTGACAGGTTATATCATTTTTAGGTCTGAATTGGAAAGGATAATTAACTTCAAAGAATATGTAGACATAAGAAAACGTGATTTTGGAATACAAGTTTGAAAATGTTTATATGTACTGTATATACATGTACTAGTATCTTGGGACATTTTAAAAAGTGGATAGTATACCTCTCATATATTAAAAATAAATAAAAATAAATATATCTAAAAAAGATAACAAATTTTTTCATCCTGTATTTTTAAAGACTTAATATTACATATTTATCATACATATCATTTGTACAATTCTAGGCCTCTGCGTGCTTGGTCAGTGCTAGTTCTAAAATCTGTACATTATACAGGTATACATTGTTTTGCTACTGTGACATGTAGTATATATACAACTTCAATGACTGATCATTTTCCCATTGAAAAGACAAACCACAAGGTAGCTTCAAATTTAAACTCATTTAAGCTCTAGTTCAAGAAAATTTCATGAAATTATAATATTGTTGCATGGTTTCAACCTTATCACATAGATGTGTTGATTGAGCAGTTTTCCAAAAATGCAGTGCTAGATTAAGTGTTTTGTTGTCTCTTCAAAATAAGCTGTCTTTGAGCCTGTCCCATATTTGTAAATTATGCAAGACCCTAGTATTAGCATCAAGAATTTGGAGTCCATGCTATTGAACTGTCCAATAAAGTATGGTATGGTCTCTTTGTGACATCTATCAGTAAAGGTGTAATATGGTCATGGAATCCAACAGAAATTGCTAGTAGCTGAAGTATCTTTTCTGCCACACTTGAACCACCTTGTCCTGGCTAAAGAAAATGAAACCAAACTTAAAAATGCAGTTAAAAAATCAAAAAGACTAATTAAGTGTAAGATTTAAAACATATGGTTAGCATATAGACCACTTTTTCTTGAACTTATCTGATCTTTTTGATCATTCATTTTTTAAACAGAATTAATGTTGCCAAAAATAACCAAACTATTAACTCCTAAGGAACCTTGCCACCTGTCAAACATCTTGACACAGTTTTGAACCATGTAAAACCCAAAAGTAAGAGCTTGAAATGATAGAGTAATTAAAAAAAAATCAAAAGCATGGGCTTGGGACTATCAATTTTCCTAGATTGTTACAGAGTTATGCTGAGTGTCAAGATAGGAAGATCAGGTTCGTGGGTCAAAAATAAAAACTGTTTAACCCAGAAAAATCTGTTAAGTATGAGGTTTTTGTGGGAAAATCTTACACTGTGCATCTTTAATCTCTTGACATGTCAAGAATCATTTGTAATTTTAAAAAATGTTCACATCATAACTAAATGTAAGCACAGTCATAAGTTTGACACACAAATTTAACAAATGAATTATCATTTAAATCATTTCTGAAAACATTCATACTGCCTACCTCCACTGTTTCACACAATAAAGGTGAATCATAGGTATCAGCTAACTGTGTGACTGCTTCTATTTCTACACTTCTATCCAATAAACCTTGGGCTGAAAAAAAAAAACAACAAAACAAATTTTGACTTATCAGATCATAATACTTGAGTACATAATTGTACAACTTAAAGACATATGAAATCATGTTTCCCTTAGAAAGAGATGGACATCACTTTTTGTTTTTTACGTTTTTGTAACCAGGAGGTTGTAGATTTTTTTTATCTCAGCAATGACCAATATCAATGTTATTTGAAAGGGAACAATATGTCAGCTATTTCTGCATTTAATCAATACTCACCATTTTTTATTACAAAGCATACTCTTCCAAGAAAATAATCCACATCTAGATGAGGCAAAGAAGATTCTACCACAGCCATGCTAAAATGTAGAAGCTACGTATTGAAATTTCACCATATTGTGGGAAATAGAGCAGAAGTTAAAGTATTTGCTTTAACTTAATAAATCAGGAGACCATTAATTGTTTTCAAGCTTATATTTAAGGCTTACACTATCACAAATTTTGTACAATGCATGTACCTTCGCTTATCAGTCATGTCAATCATGAAAATAACCATATCAATTTTTGGACGGTCAGTTTCTTTGTTTTCTGGTAATGGAAGACTTGTAGCAGTCCGGCTAAAATGGGTAAAACAACATGCAAATTACTAATTAGCTATGAAAAATAATTCACTTTTATAATACAGTCTGCGACGTTAGGCACTAGCCCGAGGCAATTGCCCACCTAAAGTGGCACCGGGCTAGTAAAAAAGTTGAAATTTTATAAAGCACTAGCCCGAACGGGCTAGTTGAAATTTTGAGCCTTTTGTAACACTCAGTAAGATTTCAAAAATATAAGTGGCCAGTCTTCTTTGTCCCTGCCTCTAATTTGATGTTTCTAGATAGTATGATGTGCTTCTCAGTTGAAAAAACTCACACCTTGCTCAAACTACTGAATATTGATTAGTTGCAGCATAAAATTACAATAGAAGTTAGAGTGGATAGTGGGCTGGTTATCGATTAGTTCAAAACTATGAACTTTTTAAAAAAGTTTAAAGTATTGATTCAAAGATTCCATTAACAAAAAGTTCAACTCTAAATGAAAATTGCACTTTTCATGAAGGTTGACTTATCATACATGTACTTAGCACATATATGCTACTAAAAGGTTTAACTGCAGCTGAGAAAGGAAAAAAGTACCTACACTTGCAATGCATAGGAAGTACCAACACCAACAAGAGCCTTGGCTAATTCATGTTTTCCAATCCCATGACAGCCTACAATCTAAACAAATATAAAATAAAAATCAATCATGAATTCCGTTACATATTATACATATATTTGACTTGGTTTTGAAAAATTTTGATTATTTGATCATTTGATAAATTCTAATAACTATATTAACCAGCTCAAGATATCTTTACTGATGAATTGGTGTACGACATGCTTATAATTTATAAATACAAAGGCAGATAGGATATCCCTACTCTCTTAAAAAGTATAAATAAATATAAATAAATAAAGTTTTCTTCCTCCTCCTCAAAAGGGAGCTTTTAACATTAAAAATTAAAAAATTTTGATTATTTTAGAAAACAATTGGAGTCATGTTGTGTCAAAATAGGCATTTGTCAACATATATCCTTCAAATCTACTTACCTTTCCCAATTCATAAAGACATTAACAAGATGGCAAAGCTGTCAAATGTTCATGTACAGACATAAAGCAGAAAATAATGATGAGAGTTGTCATTTTTGTGTATAAGGCAATGTTTAACAGCAGAATCACTTCCATTTTTTAATAATGACACTCTAACTGTCAATAAAGCAATCCAGGCAATACAGTAACGAGTAAGGCAGTAATGGCCAGTCAGTATATCAATACCCGGGGCCTGCGGTGCAGTGTACACCCTCACAAATAACATAAAGTAAACTTCCTTGCGCTGAAATTATTTGTCAGAAAAACACCAATGACTTACCAGTAAAGTTGCAGAGTTTAATATAGGCATTTTGCCATAAATTGATGGCTCAGTCTTCGACATTGTGAGTCCTTTTGAGAGTTTCCTCCGTTTAAACCTCCCGCTTCAAGATGGCAGCATGGTATGACTATGTTTTTATTTACCTTGTGTGTTTTACTGTGAAACTTAACATTATTCTATATTTTTTTTATGGAAATTTATGTAGATCAATAATTTTATTATGTAGTATATATTTTCAAAACAATTTACTTAAAATCTCGTACTATCTCGCAGATACGATATGTGAGTTGGAAAGCATGGCAGAATTATGTTTACAGCATCGACTTCAGACGAATTGGGCAATATTGATTGAAGTAAGTAGACCCCGGAGATAATTTTCACAACTTTTAGACTTGTTGAATAAAAAGAAAAAGAAAAGCAAACATTGTAAATTGATAGTTGTCTCTTCAATAATGGGAATAAGAACATTGCTGTTTTCAATGTTCAATGGTTTGCCTTTGCCTTTGGTTGTGCAATGTTATTTTTTTACATTATGCTTGTTCCAGTTGTCGTAAAGTTGTATGTTGGTTTCGAATACCCTACCGCATTTAACAGTCTGCAAAGTAAACACGTGTTCCCACGTCAAATGTTTATATTGTAGCTGGGATTTCTTATATTTGTTTAGTTGTAATCAAATATATTGTAGCTGGGATTTCTTATATTTGTTTAGTTGTAATCAACACAGGATTTTTTCAAATAATGCTTGAGACTTGAAAGTTGAAATTTTGTTCACATAACGTAGCTCTTTTCACATTTTTCAGTATGCTTTTTTTGTTTCGCACCATTTTGACTGGATGTAACAAAAACATAATTATTAAAATTCTCATTTTCTTGCTTCAAGGTGCAGTAAAAAGTAGAATCTGTGTCCAGAAACAAAGGTTATGGTCTGTTAATTTTCTTGAGATGGATCACGCTGTAGTGCCCCAGAGAAGTGGGGTTATAGATGTACAAAACATCTTGGAGAAAAANCGTCAGAATGGCCTGAACGGAACATATTCTTCAGAAAACATGCCCAACTAACGATATCTTTATTCAAATACACAAATTAAAAGCTCATTTTGTAAATTTTGGGGTTTAAAAAACGTCGTTTTTGCTCGGCCTGGGAGTTAATGAGCTACGTGGTCACGTGGTCCAATGACGACAATCGAGCCACTGGAGAACAGAGCGTGCTTAGCTGTCAAACTGAGCTGCACTGTCTACCTGTAAGATGACTTCTCTGGCTTCTGATAAAGGTTTATACTCATTCAAATCTCTTACCCGAGGGGTCTTAATCCTCGTGTAGCTATGTAAAACCATTTCCCGTCTAGTCAATTCTTTAACAAGCATTTAATTATGGTTATCCCAAGTTGTATAAAACACTGCATTAGAATGAGTTAAGGGTACTGTTGGTTATTGGATATGAGGTCCATGTTATTTGTGAAATTCAATTAATTTTATTAAACCGCTGACACTCCGTCTTGCATAATTTTATTAAACTGAGGTAAACAATGCCCGTTATCCTTACAAGTCATATCTTAATCATCCATCTAACTGGAACTTCCTTTACCTCTAAATTAGAGGGTTAAATGGCATTCAATTTGCCTTGCTTGTATCGAACGCACTCTAAGCTTTACTCCTGTTATCTCAGGTAAAAATCTACCTGTGCGTTAGTTTCAAAAGCAGCTCCCGCAGACCTGGAGGTACTAGATAAAATCTGAACACCAGGTTTATCGAGGAGTTAGAGAAAGAAAGGGAGAATTTTTCCTGCACAGCTTCATAGGAATATAAACACGGACGTGATCCAGCTTAGAACTCCAAACTAACAGAGTGACATGGGCAATTTTCACAAACAAATCATAAAACTATATTAGCCGCCTTTAAAATAAATATACCGTTCTGGGTAAATTAGAACAATTAGAACATTATTAAATCGTGAGACTTAAATGATGATTTTATTATAAATGGAAATTAAGCTACTGTAAAAGGTACATTTGCTGTGATTACGCTGTCCTTCATGTTTTGCGCAAGTCTACATTTTGCTGTACGTGCTTGTAATTTTCTAAAATCTTTGCGTACAATTTTTGCAGGTCTGGTTATGCCCCTGTTATGTGATGATAGTCTATTTGCCAATTAGTTCCTTAGGTTATTTAAATAGAATTGCAGTGTAAAATTTTCAACAAGATGTTGGCGAAACAGCCCTTTACTCTGTGTAGATATTTCCCCCGTCAAAGTTTGTCTAAAATTATCTTTCAATCTTTACTCTTTCAAAGACAGTATAAAGTTATCTGACATATTTTCGTGTATACTTAATGACGAGCCAAGTGTCTCCAGTTCATTCCGAACTCAATTTTACCCAAGCAAATTTTTTTCTTGGGTAGACCTTTACAGCCCGGTGTTTTAAGCTTACAAATTTGCAAAAAAGATTTGCGTACAGAATTTGCGTTTCAAGTTATAAAATGATCAATCTTTTAAATTATTTAATATTTCAGATGAAATAATCTTCAGAAACAAATCCTTAAAGCATAAACGAATTAGGATTATGAACCATTTTATTACAGCAGTTCGCATTTTTTCTTTAATATGACGCTCTTTTTCCTGTTTTCCTCAACACGTTTTCTTCCACGGAAGTATAGCCTGGGCATACGCATGCTTCAAGATATCCTGAGAGCAATTCCTTTTATTAATGTTCGCGGCCGTGTTTGAACTGAATTGTTTAAATATTGATATTTAACGTCATTTACAAATACCAATAAAATAACCCCATGAAATAAATGAGATATATTGAAAAATATGAAAGCCCACCAAGACGAGTTTCACACCTGTTATTACCTGGTTTAGGAATTGCAGCGGTGCATAATTAACAGGTTTTATTGTTAAGGAGCTCTTGCTCAACTACAATGCATTTAAAAATGCATCAGCAATTAGTAAGCTTGCCAACTGATAACAGTATCTAAAAGACTATGAGCTTTTGATATGATCTAAAACACCTGAGTAGACCGAGATCGCGAGCATCGTCACCAAAGTTAGTAAGTTAGACACGGAAGACCGTCACAGACAAAGAAAGATAGTCAAGGAGTGCTGCAATTTTGGTGAATCCCACGGCAACACACTGAGGCATAACGAAAATTGCTCAACTCCGTTCAATACAACTTTCCTAAACTTCTCTGTCTGTATGCACCGTGCAGCTCAGCTGAGTCTCAGAGTCCTTTATCGCGATTGTCGTCATTGTACCACGTGACCCAGATCTGTTGCTTCATTTTTGCATATTGAGGTGAGGTTTACTAAAACGCTTTTTTTCTACTAATAGATTGTTTTTATAATTTTTAAATGGCGGGGATCGATTAAAACATACCTCTAGTGTATAGATTGAGTGCTGAATCTTCAAAATTCGAGAAATGGATTTTTACATGAAGATTGTCCTTTAANAGGTTATGGTCTGTCAATTTTCTTGAGATGGATCACACTGTAGTGCCCCAGAGAAGTGGGGTTATAGATGTACAAAACATCTTGGAGAAAAGCAGAGTGGTAAATACATGTAATTTTGATGCACTGTATTTAAATGCTTCCTAATGTAAAGATATAATTATTAATTTATTTCCATGTATTCACATTGTTAACAGTGGTAATAATACTATTAGTGTAAAAAGAAAAACATGACAAGTCTCAATCTAGCAATTTATTGGCATTTTCACTATGTGCTACAATCTTTTCACTACAATCTTGTGAAATTATAGAGAAAAACTCAAAGCAATGTAGAAAAGCACAGAGATGCAAAAACAAAAAATAATGAAAAGAATACCCAAGAACTTAACTTATTTGTCTCTTGAAAATTACCCCCAGTATCAAATTTGTTTTTCAGACTTCAAGTAGTATTATTAAGTCAGTCATTTTTATGAAGAGATTAATTGACATTTTGCTCATTGCTCCTTTCAGGGTGCTGGTAAAGAATATGACTTGCTTATAAGCCATCTCACTAAAGCTGATGTGGAAGTAGGTGAAATTTGCTTTGGATGGTGGATGGTTGATGTGTTATAATTTTTTTAGCATTTTGATATGGAAATAATGTTGTGAAGCAGTTGCATTTATTTTCAGCTGTTTGACTAATGTTATCTTATTTGCTTTGAAAGGAAAAAAAATTTGTAATGAAATTTTAAGAATTACAAGATTCTGCAACCTAAGGGTTATTTATGTTTTAAGTGGTTCGATTAACACATTTTTCTATTTACAGCCTGCTCTGTTACTTGCATGTCTCAGAGGGTTGCGAGAATGTGTTTCAATTCTTGGGAAAGATTTTGAACTTCTTGTAGGGGTGATATTTGTAAGTATGGTTTATGATTGTATGAAAGCAAAACATTTAAATAGGACCATTATGAGGTAAATGATAGTAACATTAGATTTACTTTGATGTGTTATGTTTGTTTTGAAGTGAGTGTTTGATTTATGGGTCATTTTTCTTACTTATCACACAGTCTTTTTGGTTTCCAGAGCATAGAATGGACCAACAAGGATGTGGCTATCATCCAGGAATATCTATCACTGGTGATCAACCTAGTGTCTGCACACCCTTTTTACCTACGGTCCTGTTTGAGGTCCCTAGTCAAGCAGTTAATACCTAGTAAGAAAATTAACAAAAAAAAAAAAAAAAAAAAAAAAAAAGATAAATAAATAAAATAAAAATGATTATAAAGAACAAAGCCATGGTTTACAAAATTGTAGATAAGTTCGTTATTTGGTTTCACATGAATACTTTAAAAATATTTTTAAAAATTATATAATTTCTTTGCTCAAGTTTTTAAAAATTATTTATTTATTTATTTATTTATTTATTTTTATGACGCTGATATTTACGTTGAATGTTTATTTTCAGAGCAACCAAAACAGGCTAAGAGTGAACTAGAAAAAGAAATCCTTGATGGACAAAAGAGTGCAGACTTGGAGCAGATGTTTATTAATATTCACACGCTTATAAAAAATATTGCTCAAATTGTACCTATGTGAGTACTAAATAAGAATAGATAGTGATGATATCAGAGTATTTAATGAAATGTACCTTACAGACTCATTTAAAATATTTGAGCATTTTAATGAGAACAATTACAGTTTTCAATTTTGTTTGGGTATTTATCTAATAAGTGAAGTTGTAATTTCTGTCGCAGTTGGTTTAAATGTGATGTACCACAGAAGTGATATAAATGATTTTGATTATTATGAAGACATGGCCTTAAATTATGATTTCTCTTTTGTCCATATTAGGACTCCACAAGTATTAATGCCACTACTGGTTGAATGTTTCCCTTATATGACTAAGGATGCCTTTATACAGGAATGCTATGTAGAAAATCTGCTACGAATCCCAACCTATCTTCCTGTCTTGAGACCAAAGATTTTGGAATTGGTTGTTGATAAGATGCTGAAGTTTGATGTAAGTACAGGATAATGAAAAAATGTTTATAGATTTAAAACTCTGTTAAAAATATAGAATTATTTTTGACTTTTTTATCAGGTATTAAATACCTCTGTAACAGATTGTGCTTGAATTTGGTTCATAGCTTTCTCTTTTGCTATGAGCTTTGTGTACGGCACATAGAATAAGAAGATAAAACTGCATTAATATGTAGATATGTTTGTTTACATTTTTGCAGAGTTATCTGACACTCTTGTATTTATGTATAAATATTGAATGAAAATAAATGTGTAACAGCATAAATTGTATCTGTGAATGCTTATTTAAAAAATAAAAGTATGGTTTACATTTTTGGTTTAGGTAAGATCACCAAGGGATGAAATCATTGAATTGGAAGATAATGAAGAAGCCATGGACACAGATGTTATATTTGATATGGTATGTGGCCTTTTTTCTATTATCTTCTGAAATTTGAAGTGGTTACAGGGAAAACATTACACTTTTACAGTGACTGTGACCTAATCATATATTCCATAACTGTATTATTAAAATTGCAATAACAAAATGCTCAGTTTAAAAAGATGTTTATTAAGTAAGGAAAGCTTAAAATGATTTTGTCTTATGTCTTGTCTAATGTCTTTTTGGAAATCTATAGGAAGATCTACCATCCATTTTGTCTGGCGGAAAGGATACAAGTTCAACGCAAAATGAGATATCTGCAATGACCCACAAAGAAGCCAACAAATTAGATATCCTGATGCACCTTATGTTTAGATATATACAGAATATTTGTTATCAAAATGGTAAGTGTTCAATTTGCGCTGTAACGTTATTCTCACTTATCAGACTGAATTTCATATGGATTGCCCAGCAAAATTCAAATTTTTCATGATCAAAATTAATTTCACTGATTTATTTTTTAGGTGAGCTTGATTGGGAAGCCACAAAGAAGTTGTACCGAGAACTTCTACAGGTTTTTGACAGGGTTATTATAACCACTCACGCTTCATGCCATGTACAGTTCTTGATGTTTTACATGTGTAGTCTCAAACAGGTAAGCTTATGTTGTTTGTGCAACAGTGCATATGAGTTATTATCTGCTGCAGTAGTTGGGAAGATCACAACTCGTCTACATTTTCTTCTCAATGCAAATACTTTTTTATCAAAAGAAAGTTTAAATTTGAATTATGAACACTAGCAAAATAACAAATACACACATATTTTTGGGTTTCAGGCACTTTGTGACGGCTTTATAGATTATCTGTGGAAGAAAGTTCAGAATCCCAACACAGAGCCTGTGTTCAGGCAAGCTGCAGTAGCATACATAGCTAGCATTATGGCAAGAGGGAAGTTTGTGGCAATAAGGTAATTTTTAATTCATTATTATTGTTGTTGTGATTTTAGGAGTGCAATGTTTCTTAAGGCCTTTTCACATGGATCGTTTTATCTTAGTTGTACACCTGTACTGGTATGTTTTGAGTGATTGGCAACTGTATGGCTAGGCCCTTATGTAAGAGAGAGACCTAGATAGTGCCCTCGTGTTAGATAAGAACAATTAATTTTAATTATAATATAGAATTATAAGTACATGGTAAAACCTTGATAATGCATAATGATGAAAAAGATGATTTATGTGAAGCTAGCCCAAAAGAATAATATAAAGGCAAACAACGATAATGAAAACCTAGAAAAAATGGTAGCTCTCTGTCAGTTTCCTTTTGCCTAAACAATTAAAATGTCTTTATAATTTCAGCACAGTGATGGATTGCCTCAAGTTGATCTGTGACTGGGTGCACCAGTATATTGACCAGACTTCAGATTCCATCAGACAGGCAGATGTCCAGCATCATGGGCCATTTTACTCAGTATGCCAAGCTGTCTTTTATGTGTTTGTGTTCAGGCATAAGGAAATGCTGGAGTTAAAAAAAGGTATTAATCAAAAGTTAGAACCTGTAAATGTTGTTGTCAATGACACTTTCAAGGGATAGCATTCTGAATTTATGAGAATTTTAAAAATGAATTAAAATTTTTAACAGTAAGAAATCTAAGAAATTATATAGAGTTGGAAATACCAATCAGAAGTGATTTATTAAAATATTTGGTTTCTTTTCAGGGTACAAATTTGCAGAGAGTCTTAATTTCCAAACCATAGTCACTAGCAGATTAAACCCACTACGTGTCTGTCTACCAGTAGTTGCCAAAACATTTACCTCTGTTACAAGGTATGTTATTAGAATATCTCTACCATACTACATGTCATACTTGCTCATCTTTGATATGATAAGTACAATGTGATTTTTTCAATTTTGAGGAGATGAACTGCTAAGTTCATAAGCTAAGATATTTATTGTTTGCAATTTCAGAATGCATCAGTTAGCTTTCTGTGATACCATCATGGAGCGAAATAACAGATCACTGCTCCCTGTAGCTGCATTGGGCTTGTATGGACCATCCAGGCTTACCCATGTCAACCCGCTAGACTCATTCTTTCCTTTTGATCCATATTTATTAAACAGGTAAGTTTTGTTTCTCCTCCTCTTTAGTCTTTACACATTTTTTGTATGAAAACAATGTGCAGCAAAGTAGTTGATATGCAACTCGAGTTAAAGAGGTAGTGAATTTATTATTTTGATTGTATGTTTAAAAGTTGTATCTCCTCACATTTTATATGTATTGATTTTTGATAAACTGTTGCATCTGTGCTGGAGTTAGGTATTATGCATTTGTGTGACACAAACCTTAAAAATTCATTCTACTATAGAAAGGGATGCTTGACAATTTGAAGACATTTCAATCAATTTTATTAATATATTCATTTTAAGATCAGTAATGAGCATACTATGTGTACTTTTTTTTCAGCTAAAATAACATTTCTTGTGCTTTCAGATCTGGACAGTATGTAATTCCTCTGTATAGAGAGTATGAGGACTCACCCCCAGAGGAAGAAGGAAGACCAGAACTTCAGTCTGAGGTGAGCATAAGGAAAAGGAAGAGCATAACTAAGGGTGCTTTCCCAGAGATTTAGATCGATCTAGAGATTAAGATTTAGATCGACCTATCTCCCTTGGGGTTCACGCTAAATTGCAGTCAGCCGAGCGGGCACCATAGTTAATTACCCCTTTACAGCTTTTAATAGGCGCAGACGCTTAAGCTGGCCAAGCTGACAGTAATCTAGTGAGACTCCCCACAGGGATAGATCGATCTAAAAATCTATGGAAATGGGGTGTAAGAAAAGCCTTTAGCTATAGGATGTAAAAAGACAATAAAAAAGGGTCTGATAAGCAACAAGTTGCCGTAGTTGCTTCATGTATGTGTAATACTCCATATGAACAATGTGATTTAACATCAAAGGCTGAAATTTATTGCTTACTTTGATATTGTGTATTAAGCAAAAGCTATGTTTCAATTTTCAGGAAGAGGATGATTTTCTCCCCCAAGTGCAATCCCCCAGTGAATGTGTAGGAAGCCTGAGTAGGCAAGGGAAGGTCCCAGATTTCCTACATTATGGAACCTCTCCAGGATTTAAACACATAGACCATATGATTTAAAACTTTCAACCTCATTTCTTGTCACACTGAGGTTTTATGTCTACTTCTTTGAAAGTTGTATGACTCTAAGGTTTGAAATTCCTTATAATGTTAATGTGAAGACTTAATGAAAATGTTAATGTGTAGACTTAAATGAAAGAAAAGGTGCAAGGTCAGTACAGTTTCTACAAAGAATTTGACAACAAACAATATATTTTAGAAGGAATAACATAAAATTAATTTAATTGCAATTGAAATAATGGTTATTTATAATTTGGAATGAAATGACATCTACTTTTGTTTCATTTAAATGTTTCTTTGTTTGTTACTGATTTGTGTAATAATGCTTTGAGTTTGTTGTGACCATGCAATTAAATACTAATTATACAATTGCATGGATACAAATAGCCTGGTCTCTCATTGCTGCAAAGAAGCACTGTTCAAGTTTAAGAAGTCTTCATTTTCCCAATAATAAATGTAAATGAATATGTGATGACTTTGAACGATATATGTCAAAAATAAAATTTGAGAAAAAGCTTGATAAGAAAAACTGCAAATTTGTTGCTTTCAAGTCACCTGAGATAAAAAAAGCAGCATACTCATTTCAAGTGCAACTTTTGCTTATTCCTTAATAATGCAGTTAAGTTTGCATTTACATGGGTTTATCATAGTAGTGCATGGCAATTATGGGCAGGAAATCCATATTTAGGAAAATTTAAAGTCTTTTGATAAGCTGAGGATGGCAGTTTGAAATACCAAATTATGGGAAAAGGTGAATTCTGTATATATATATATCTTTTTCTTATTCATTAAAATGTTTTACTGTCCAAGCCTTTCAGTCCCAGGAATCTTTAGACTGGGACTAAATACAAAGTTATAAAATGTACAAAGAGAAAAGGGGAAAAAATCAAATTTCATTTGACACACTAACAAAATTATTCAGCTAATGACAGTCAAAACGGTCAATATCTTGTCCGCCCTAACACACCTACACGTGTGTAGTAAGTTGGGATTATTCATAGGCGGCTTTTGTTGTCCTATTTACGCTCCAAATAATGCGTGGGTTGCGCCACAGAATGCAGTGGGTGAGATAGACAAATGCAAGAATTTGTCATAATATAGAGTGACACATAATCCTCTGTCACCAGAGTAAAAACTGTGTCTGTACCCAGTTAACAGTCAGTGGTTGTAACATACATATTTTGATTGATAATTGAAAGTTGTCAGATGTATGAACGAGATGCCCGAGAGATCAGTAGCAGACGAAGTGGACTCATTTCTCTCGCGTATGAACCCGTGTTATACGCCTATCAGTACACAAAGTCTCGATTTGGATGGAGTTGTATTGGGCACCGAGCATGATGAATTCCGCTGTTTTAGTTCATCAGTAATGGCCAGTTCAAGAAGAAATGGGCCCATGAAAATCCGACTTACAGGTAGGTACTCTCCGGAGATGATCATATGTCTAAATGTTTGCCTCTAATCCCATTATAATGTGCGATTTCAATAAAATTTTCGAGTCCCAATTTCGTGTATCAATTCAATATGGCGGCCGCCGTTCATGGACAGGTATTTAGAGAATATGTGTCTTTTCTGATGATATTAGGATTGAGATTAGGTTCAAGTAATCCATTCATAAGAAAAATGTCTAAAGTCACTTAAGACAATAATGAAAATGTACTGTAAAACTGCTAGTTGTACTGTATACCATACACAACTTCGATTCACCGTAGGAAGACGTTCACTAAATTCGGTTTCTGACAACCCAGCATTGGCACTGCCTGGATTGGATAGATTTTAATTCTTTGAGTCTTTATAATGTTTAATTGAGTATTTGTTAAGATAAACTTTATTCTATGGGTCATCATATTAGACAAATATAGTAAAATGTAATAAAAATATTGTGCCATAAAAATATCATACAGCTTGAAATTGGTGTAATTGATTTAAAAGAACTTTCCAATAAGCCTAATAATACTATAGTTACATTTAATAGAATACTGAGACCTTAATTTAGGCATAAAGGACATCATTGTCTTGCTACCCATTTCTTTAAAAAGTTTTCAAGTTGATTGGCAGCATTATTATCCCTGTGCCACTATAAATAGGGATCATTTGCTAGATTGAACGTCATTTACATTAAATCACCTCACTCATATGTTAAAAAATAAAACCTGTTAAATGAAATAGATAGCTATGTTTTCTTCACAAGTAATATATTTTTATTCTTAACAATTGAATAAACAAGACATGTTATCCTATATATATAAAACAGAACTATATTGTAAATGGGCTGAGTCACAGTTGGGTAGGGAATGGTCATGTATTGATCAACAAATGCTGTGGGGATGCTCAATATTGTACAGGTAGGATCCTTCCTGGATTTATGAGGAAAATTGACTGATATGAAATTTCACTGATTTTCAGAGGAAAAACTGTTTATTATGAAAAAGAAAATAGGTAAATTTTGTAAACAGAAGTGATATATTAACTAAGATGAAACATTGTGGCTGCTGTGGGTGCAATGTCATAGCAAATGTTTCTTTCAAATGTAAACAAAGTGTTTTGAGGTGTGTGTGATCTGGTTTTGAAAACAGAAAATAACATCCATCACTTTTATGTTGCTTTTGCCACTTAAGCTTTCTTTACATGAAAGCTTTCTTTTATGGTGTTTGGTAAAAGGATTATTCCTTTAGCATAGTATGTTACTTGGACCACTTGATGGAAGGGTAAGTGTGGACATCATCTTTGGTTTTAATATCATTCCTGGGTTAATTCTTTAATCATTAACAACATTTTTATATTTAAAGTAGGGTTACTTTTGGTTTTGCTTTGAATTTTATAATTTCTGTGATACCAGTATGTTAGTTCTAAAAGATATGCTGTCTGCTAAAAAAATGTCAAATTTATTTCCCTTTTAGAATGAGCTGATATTATCAATGTCTTGCAGGAGGTTTGAAAAGATAACGTTGTTGCCACAGAGGAATGTGTTTTACATTTTGCATTTGTAGTTTCATTTGGTCCCTGTCAACAAATGATAAGGCTGTGTGTAATCCTTAATTAACTTACTGATAGGTGACCACATTTTAGGAAGGTAGATTCATTAGGTTTTGTTACAGATGAAGTAAGTAAATGCCCACAATACATAGATTATGTCTTGGAAATGCCACTGTGCTATAAAAAGTCCCCTTTTTCCAAAAATATAATTCTCACTCATGTGTCACGACTGCTCTGCTCAAACATGTTGTTTACATCAGCCACGTGATAAGCCCTGAATAGAAAGGAAGGCAAGCTGGGGCAGTTTGTAGGTAGCAGCAAGCTGTAATGCTACAGAACGGAGGGAGAGGTGAATTCAGAACCCCATTCATACTTTGTTCATGCTGAAAAGCACTTGGACCATTCATAAAGTCTCTGACACAAAAGAACTTGAGGCAGTCTCTTATACAACACAATGATGTGAGTGTACTGAGTCACTTGGTCTGTATGTTAGGTTGATCCAGCCATAAAGCAAATACACACAAACAGAGCAATGGAATACTAAGGTGCATTCCTCATGCATTGATTTTTCCCTATTGAAAACAATACCTTAGTAGAATAGCAGAATTGTGGTATACTAGTAAGCAGATCTGAAAGTATACTACAGTTAATATGCTCAGGAAAGTAGAGTTATTTTGGTAGTCATGGCTTAAATATCTTAATTCATAGCAATCGAACTTTGTGAATCTGTACAAATTTGCTGTTTTAGTGGGAAAAATATATGTTAAGTGTCATAATTTATTTTAAAGAAACCACATTTGTTTTTTGTTTTGTAATTAGAAGGCCTGGTTCCTCTTAAGTATGCCTCATGTTAGGCTCACTCATTTCCTCACACCTGCAGTTTGACATCCTTAGTCCATTGAGATAAGATTAACAGTACATACTATCATCGGCTCTTTGTGAGATGTTTGTATTTGATAATTGACCTGACTGGTTTTCTTGTGATCATTAACTATAATCATACATATACATATTTATATTGGCATTTGAAAACTTGTTTTGTAAGTCGTTTGGGATTGTACGCTTTGTCAGAAATATAGTTATCTGCCTCTTTTTTGTCGCAAATTTTTAGAGTTGAACAAAGTATGTCATGTACTTCCCCTGCATGTAACACAGTGAATGTGAATTTTTTATTGTTGGAAAAGGCTATATGTTACCAGAATGTCTTGAGGAAAAGTTTACAAAAACATTCTCTTTTCAAGCCTGTCATTAATTATGGTGTACAGACTGGCTGTCTGCACCCATGACTGCATGGTCACCTGACAGTGTGACAATAAACATTTGAGATATTTGATAAGTGAGCTAAATGTTGCTGTTACAAGTGTTATAAGTTTTTTTTTTGCATTTTAAGTTATTTCTACCATGGTTGTTTTTTTATATGAAGAATAGAAATTATTCTGTGTTTTATTTGTTGGCATGTCTGTATATAAGTTTCAAAGATTACATGAGTTCCACTTCATGACTTTATTATCTGTATTTACTATACATGAAAAGGTCCTTAGATTTAGAATGCAATGGGTCTTATCTAAAGAACATGTTCTGTTTATGTGCTGTAACCCAGTAAGGTTAAAATGCAAGTTATAAACTTAGGTTACAGATAATGTTTAATGAGCTAACTTTGTTATGCTATTTTCATGATCCCAGACTGCTCTTTTAATGGTGTCTAGGTTTTGCTCATTCAAGGATGCATGTAGCTTGCTGTTTTATGACTGCCTCATGTAAGCCTATAGTTTGATAACAAATTTGGGTTGTGCCATTGCTCTCTCTCAATTAGCTCAAATATTCTTTTGGCATCATGTAGTAAAATGATGGATGTGAACAAACCATCTCCTTCCTTTAGTTAAATGCAATATATGAATATGATTAAATGGCTCTTTTTTATATCAAATATATATTTAAATTGATAGGAAATCCAGCTGAAAATATTATTAAAATTTAATAATATTTTCAGTTGGATTTCCTGGCAAGCATAAGTACTATACTAATACTATAGAGATAATACATGAGGCATTGAGAGAAAAGGTCCAAACTCAAAAATACTCAGTGATTAAACATTTTGAGACCATTTTCTTCACTTGGCTAAAACCCAAGAAGGTGTTCACATGTTCTTTGTCTTTTAATTTAAGCAGAAACAAATTTGGGGATGAATAAAAAATATCAACACAACCAATGCTCCATCCTGTTGTATTGATTAAATAAAAAGATGAATAAAGAGAAGTGCTGTCTCTTAAAATTAAAATGACATGGATTTTCCCTTCTACTTGTTAATGTTTTTATGAAATATGTAATAATTCTTAATATTTTTCAGTACTGTGTGCAAAGAATCTGGCAAAGAAGGACTTCTTTCGTGAGTATTTATAAACTGTTCTGTTTTCTGTTTCAAGTATCAGTCTAGCTTTTCTCTCCAATTAATATACAACTCTAGTAAGTAATCCCATAACAAATAATATGTAAACACATTTTTGAAGTGCAATTTTTTACTCTGTTCTTGAGTTTTTACATAAAATTTCAAGCTTTGCATCTTTTTTTTTTTTTTTTTAATGATAAAAGTATGTCACTTAATACCGAGTTGGCTGTGGGATTTTGTCAATATTTTGTGTCAGACTGATTACACGAATCTAAGGGCTCGTTCCCAATGACACAATCATTTAAAGTAGATCAATCCAACTCCTTCAACTAATGCAATCAGTTTAACAGATCAACACACCGCCTCCTGGCATTGAGTAAAATACAGAAAAGCTGGTGATTATATGAGTAGGCTAGAGACAAGAGGAGGCGTGTTAATCTCTTAAAGTTAAACTGATTGCATTCAGTGAGAGTCCCTGTAGAGTTGCATCAATCTACAAAGAAGATAGGTTCATAGGGAATGAACCCCAGTAGTTATCATGCCCTTGGCTGCACTTAGCACATTGTACTTATATATCAAGCATGGTGTCACAGAACAAGTTTTGTTTGCCTTTGTTGGGAAAACAGACCTGTTTAAATGCCTGTATATGAGGCAATTCAATGTAGTGATTGTTAACTGTCTAGGTGTGTCATTATTTATGTACAGATGTGACTTCTTATTGAAGAAGGTGATAAAGTGTGCATTTTAAAAAGCAGTGGTACACAGGTGAAGAGTGACTTGATGATACAGTGGATGATATTAAACGTTTTGAACATGCTGTAATCTATAAGTAATTTGTTTTGTCATCAGGAAAGAGTAGGTTTTGTTGAGTAAGACTTATTGAATGGTGACAGACATCAGTGTTTTCCTTCCTATTGGTCTGTCAAACTGAGTTGTGTCCTGAGTCATCAACTTTTTGTGGCCTCCGTATTCTTAGTTCGCAATATGTGAATATGTTCATAAAAAGACGGCTTAGCATTTCTTTATTTTGCAAGGTCATCTTGCAATAGCAGGTTACTAAACCATATAGTTGTACTTTGTTATAAAGTACAACACCTGAATTATAAACTGTTTGTCACCATTACTATCAGTTGATTTTTAAGGTGTATTGATCTTTCTAGTCTCCTTCTTTTTCTTGCTGTAATAACCACTTGATGTAGTGTTTCCGTTACTGAGGCTGTTTAAAGTTTTGGCTCTGTTATGAAACAAAATTCAAGGCTGTCATTTTAGACCTAGTAAAGATGACTTCCTGTTGGAGGAAAGGAATGTTTATCCCTATGTGTCTGGGAAAAAGTGTGGATATCCTTTCAGTCGGTGAAACAAAGGACCTTGTCAATTAAAATTTTTCATAAACCATTTGATTTTTACCAATGTTTGAGCATCTCTTCAATGCAGCACTTTTTTGGAGGGAGTGGGGCTCTCAAATTACAATTTCATTTTTCAGTTCATGTATTTCTGCCCCTTTTAAGACAACAATGATATTAAATCGGGGTTTGATTTGGTCTTTAAATAAGGTCACACCAGAGTGGGTATTCCTATTACTTATCTGTTAATATTTTTCTGGGTGAACCCACAAGTGGGACACAGAAAAAGATTGCAGTTCAGTAAAAGAAAACTATTTCTTGGCTTTTTCAGGCCTGCCAGATCCTTTTGCTAAAATTAGTGTTGATGGCTCAGGCCAGTGCCATTCAACAGAAACATGTAAAAACACATTGGATCCCAAATGGAACCAGCATTATGATTTGTAAGTATTCTTAGGGTTACACTACACATATATATAACACCTAGACTTCTTGCTGAGAAATGTACCGGATGCCAGAGTCATTATTTTGTTTAAAAAAAGGAAAGAATTTTCAGAAATGGCTGGCATGCACAAATAATCAGAACTCTGTGTGCTAGGGCATTTAAGGTTTTTTGAAACTTATTGTACAAAAAGAGTTTTTTTAAAATTACAATTTCAATGTGTTGGAATTTTAGTACAAAAATAGGCAATATACATAAATGTCAACATAACTTTCTCTGTTTGTTACAGATACATAGGACAAAAAGACTCCATCACCATCAGTGTGTGGAACTACAAAAAGATACATAAAAAGCAAGGAGCAGGCTTTTTAGGATGTGTACGAATTATGTCCAATGCCATACAGAGGCTAAAAGACACTGGATGTGAGTAGACCATGCAAAACAAACAACCAACCAATATATTGTCTTAATATATTTTTTTACATTCCTCTAGTTGAAATTTGACTTGGCAACTCTTTTGTTGAGATTTTAAACTTTCAATGTATATTTAGTATTAAATGCAACAAAGACTATCAGGGGTGAAACTATGACTGAAGACGTGTGTGTGTGTGTGTGTGTGTGTGTGTGTGTGTGTGTGTGTGTGTGTGTGTGTGTGTGTGTGTGTGTTAAGCTCAAGTGAGGGAAACAGTTTGTAATACACCCTTTTGTTATAAACCAGCTGAAGACTATCAGTAGCAACAATTTTGATTGGCTTAAAGTTCTCTCAACAGAAAAGTTACCAGTTGGGCAGATTAGGAGGTTGCTTTTTCTTTGATCAATTTTGGAATATTTTTACAATGGAAGAAAATGAATTTGTACAGAACCATCTGAAAATGATAGATATAGGGGTAAATTATGTCTTAGAATTGTTTTCGATAGTTTACAGATACTGAAATAAAATATTTTTCTAATGCTTTTTCCACCACGATCAAAAACCACAAGTATTGACGAGTGATTCATTTTTGGGCATTTTTACCAAGAGAAAGCCAGGGGTAAAATGAATAATGATTTTCAATGTAACAGAATTGTTTGCAGTTAATGAAATCTGGCTTTGCCTACAGAAGAAATCATTTGTACAGCAATTGTCCTTGGTCTCTTGTTTCTTTGCCTTGTGCAGTAAATGAACATCAGATTCCAGTATATTACATGTAATTAATCTGTCTGCTTTTGTGATCGGTAAATGCGAAGTTCGATTTTCCACAGAATAGAACAGAGACATCTCAAATCATTTTGTCTAAATGCCAAAGCAGTATGAAAAAGAGCTAGCTGTATGGATTGTGTATTTTGAAGAAAGACTTGTGTGAAACTACTATTATATCTACTTCCTCATCATTGCATGTAACAGGCCTTCCCAACTACCAGACTCGGCACCTACGGGTCCAGTATAAACCGGTTTATCAGACCACACTACCCGTTTTCAAGGTGTGTGTCAGATCGCATTACAGAGTATCAGCCACCACACCAATTTTGCCTGGTGCGCGATGTGATAGCAATGATCCTAATCGGGGTTGGAAAGTAGTGCATCTCATCTAGATTCATGCGCTGCTGCAATTTTCTCTGTTTATGCTAAAATCTGACAGTACCGCAATTTTTAACATAAAATTTAGGTTCGGACATTGGTAGTACTAGTAGATATCAGCCTGTAGTCTTGAACAAGCGCCTCGATGACGAGTGAACAGTTGTCAAAAACAAAAGACCCAGGTGTGGTAGTTCAACTACTGTTCATGCGTGCCGCAACGACCAAACCTAATTGCTCCTCAAGGTCACAAAACAATAACCGGTACTGACGGCTAGGCTCGTCTTATCATATAAGTAGCGCGTTTCCACCCCCTGATTGAGGGAGTCGTCTGTTCTATTCATACGACTCCTACTTGACGAAAACGAGGCGTGATACCCGGATGACAGGTAGGCTTACAGAATTTGTGATAGGGTATGATACTCTTTTATGCGATCTGACACACACCTTGAAAACGGGTAGTGTGGTCAGATATACCGGTTTATTCTGGACCCGTAGGTGCCGAGTCTGGTAGTTGGGAAGGCCTGATGTAAGTGCAAATATATTGCTACATTTATTTGCGATGTGCTTGTTTATTGAAATATCAATATTGAAAGACCCCTGGAGGAGGAAACAGTTAAGAACCAGCAGACTTTTTATCAGTTGATCTGAACATGCAATCTTGTAAAGCTTAGGAAGACCAAATGAGCCAAAGAGCAGGGCATGTGTTAATGTTACCATTAGTTAAACGTTTTACAGGGTGACTGTTTGTACATATTAGTGGATGATAATCCCTCTGGCTCAAATTCTTAGTTCAATCTTTTTTGTGTACTTGAATTGTTGTCATATGTGGTGTCTAGGTTGATATTTTATATTAGATTGATGTGAATATAATCTTTTGATGATACATTCACTGTTATCCCACGTCTGTATCTTGAAGGAAAGGTGCCAGCAACGTAGTTGATGATTCTGAAGTGTATGTATAACACTATTAAATTTTGTTTGCCAAAATGGACAAAAAAATTAAAAGAAACATTTTCGTCAAGGTACGTGAGTTAAGAGAAGAGCTTTCCTCTTTGCGAGGCAGGTGTGGTGTTGTCTCGCCATGCGCAAAGTTGGAAGCTTTGATGTACAGGTGTATTTTGAGAGTTATAAAAAAAGAAAAACCAGCAGGTTCTCTTTAATTAGACTTTTCCCTTGCACAATTTAAAAATTATTTTAGATTCTGTAACCTATATGAGCATTTAAGTTAAATTAGATATATACAAAAAAGCAGACTTTCATCAAATTTTGATCTCAGCACTTACAAAGTAGATTACCCAGCTGGCATATTGTTGTGTGATTTTTGCATGATTCAGCAAAATTATTTTAATGTTTTGTCTGCTACCTTCAATAATTACCTTACTGCAAATTTAGGTGGAGATGGCTTATCTTGCCATAACATTGATTCACTATTAAAAGAAGGGGGTGGGGACCTTACAGGGAATATTATAAACACCTCTCAGTATGTACACCTCTTAATTATTTATATTATTTATATCCTTTGATAATTATATCCTTATTTATAATATGTAAGCCTGCTGTGTTAAATATTTAATACAGAGTACATGAATGATATTGAAATTGCACGTCATAAAGAGTCAGGTGGACTGCCTCCCAAGGTGGGCCGATATCCTCGTTCCCTAAAACACAGCGATAACTGATATTAAATGGTCAGCTTGNGAAAGTCGAAGTCGTGACCTTGAGCCGGAGGTACTTCCGGCTGTGCTCCGAAATCATGATAAATAGTTTTCGTTTTCTAATTTTTTATTCTAGTTGTCTAAACAGAACTTTTGTGACCCAGACTTATTAATATAATAATAAACAATCTCACAAAACACAAATCTGACCAAAGTTTTACATAGAACCTGCTTCTATACATTAATCTAACCCACTGAGACTGTCTTTAAAGTTCTCTCAACAGAAAAGTTACCAGTTGGGCAGATTAGGAGGTTGCTTTTTCTTTGATCAATTTTGGAATATTTTTACAATGGAAGAAAATGAATTTGTACAGAACCATCTGAAAATGATAAATATAGGGGTAAATTATGTCTTAGAATTGTTTTCGATAGTTTACAGATACTGAAATAAAATATTTTTCTAATGCTTTTTCCACCACGATCAAAAACCACAAGTATTGACGAGTGATTCATTTTTGGGCATTTTTACCAAGAGAAAGCCAGGGGTAAAATGAATAATGATTTTCAATGTGACAGAATTGTTTGCAGTTAATGAAATCTGGCTTTGCCTACAGAAGAAATCATTTGTACAGCAATTGTCCTTGGTCTCTTGTTTCTATGCCTTGTGCAGTAAATGAACATCAGATTCCAGTATATTACATGTAATTAATCTGTCTGCTTTTGTGATCGGTAAATGCGAAGTTCGATTTTCCACAGAATAGAACAGAGACATCTCAAATCATTTTGTCTAAATGCCAAAGCAGTATGAAAAAGAGCTAGCTGTATGGATTGTGTATTTTGAAGAAAGACTTGTGTGAAACTACTATTATATCTACTTCCTCATCATTGCATGTAAGTGCAAATATATTGCTACATTTATTTGCGATGTGCTTGTTTATTGAAATATCAATATTGAAAGACCCCTGGGGGAGGAAACAGTTAAGAACCAGCAGACTTTTTATCAGTTGATCTGAACATGCAATCTTGTAAAGCTTAGGAAGACCAAATGAGCCAAAGAGCAGGGCATGTGTTAAAGTTACCATTAGTTAAACGTTTTACAGGGTAACTGTTTGTACATATTAGTGGATGATAATCCCTCTGGCTCAAATTCTTAGTTCAATCTTTTTTGTGTACTTGAATTGTTGTCATATGTGGTGTCTAGGTTGATATTTTATATTAGATTGATGTGAGTATAATCTTTTGATGATACATTCACTGTTATCCCACGGAAACTGCCAGCAACATAGACCCCATTTCCAGAGATTAGATCGATCTACTTTAGATCGACCTAACTCCCTGGGGGTTCACGCTAAATAGCTGTCAGCTGAGCGGACACGAAAGTTAATTACCCCCTTACAGCTTGTAGTAGGCGGGACGGAAATTTAAGCCGGATTATCTGACAGTAATCTAGTGAGACTCCCCGCGGGGATAGATCGATCTAAAAGCTCTGGGAATACAGCCATAGTTGATGATTCTGAAGTGTGTGTATAACACTATTAAATTTTGTTTGCCAAAATGGACAAAAAAATTAAAAGAAACATTTTTGTCAAGGTACGTGAGTTAAGAGAGGAGCTTTCCTCTTTGCTAGGCAGGTGTGGTGGTGTCTCGCTATGCGCAAAGTTGGAAGCTTTGATGTACAGGTGTATTTTAAGAGTTATAAAAAAAGAAAAACCAGCAGGTTCTCTTTAATTAGACTTTTCCCTTGCACAATTTAAAAATTATTTTAGATTCTGTAACCTATATGAGCATTTAAGTTAAATTAGATATATACAAAAAAGCAGACTTTCATCAAATTTTGATCTCAGCACTTACAAAGTAGATTACCCAGCTAACATATTGTTGTGTGATTTTTCCATGATTCAGCAAAATTATTTTAATGTTTTGTCTGCTACCTTTAATAATTACCTTACTGCAAATTTAGGTGGAGATGGCTTATCTTGCCATAACATTGATTCACTATTAAAAGAAGGGGGTGGGGACCTTACAGGGAATATTATAAACACCTCTCAGTATGTACACCTCTTAATTATTTATATTATTTATATCCTTTGATAATTATATCCTTATTTATAATATGTAAGCCTGCTGTGTTAAATATTTAATACAGAGTACATGAATGATATTGAAATTGCACGTCATAAAGAGTCAGGTGGACTGCCTCCCAAGGTGGGCTGATATCCTCGTTCCCTAAAACACAGCGATAACTGATATTAAATGGTCAGCTTGTAATTTTTTTTTCGGGTGGGAGGAGTCTGGGAATGCTTACAGTGCTGTGTAAACAAGACTGAATTGGTTCATAAGATTGTTGCATCACGGTGGGATATTTTCTCCCCTGCTCTGTGCAAGCTGTCTCTTGCAAAGAGAATGCTGCCCTGGGAACACTTTTAGGGAGGATATAAGGAAATTGCTTAATGTGTACGCTTTAGGAAGTGTCTTTTGGTATTTGGGAATTCAAGGCAACATCCTGAGTTATTGGCAAATAATTTTTAAAGATATTTGTTTATGTGTTTATGTGCTTTTTAATCATATACAACTGGTGTCAGAGAGTGATTGGGGGGGGGGGGCAGAGGAACAGTGGCAGACTTGGAAAAGGAAATCTCTTTATGTGCGCTATAATGATATAACTGGCAGACTAAAGGAAATTAGTGCATCCATCTCCAATCCTATCAGAACAAGCACCCATTATCGTCATTGTGTGTTGTATGTGGATTTACTGTGCTGCTGGAATCGATTGATCTGATCTTCTGCTTCAGAATGTAGACTAGGCTCTGCATATGAGTCATTCCCTGAAATTTTCTGACCTACCACATACATTTCCCAGGCAGAGGAATAAATGCAAGCAAGGTGTAGAGCTCAGGCAGGGAGTATCCTGTAGTTTGCAGGCAATTTACAGTGTTCAACTTCATTGGCTATCAAAAAACTCCAAACTGGAACATTTTAGGGAATATCTGTGTATCTTTTAGGATAAGAAAGGATGCTGGGTTTACATTGTGTTTGAAATGAGTTCATCAGACCTATGCTGTGGTCTTGGATTATTAAATGAAATGAAATTATGGGGTGTATATGTTGTCGATTGCCAGGCTCCTTAGGTAAGTGGAAAATGGCTGTCAGAATTTTCCGGTCAATTTCTATTGAAGGGTATAATGCTTGTGATTAAAAAAAAAGATGATTTTTTTTGATGATTAGAATATGATATTAACACTGGCATCCATTTTTTTCTGTCATTTACTGATTTTCAAAAAGGTTTCACATGATGAAGAATACTTCCACCAGCCACTAGTGGAACTGGAAGTAATCTGTTGTTTTTTAAAGTGTAATGTACCAGCTTTTAACTGTAAATCATTTTGTTCTTGCAGTTCAACGGTTAGACTTACAAAAGAACAATGCTGATGACAATGAAACAGTTCGAGGGCAGATAGTCATCAGTCTCATTACCAGGGATCGTGGGGGAGGCTCTGGTCCCACCGTCGCAGATATATCTGGCATATCAACCATTATACCCAGGGATCCCAACGAGCTGCCCGAGGGGTAAGTACTGTGAAAAGAGGTCTTTATTGGAATTGGAAAGAATGATTCTTTCTTTGAAAATATCCGGTTAAATTCTTTACCACCAGTAATGGGTGAAAATGTTATGTATTTTTTAAGACCAACGTGACGATATGGCAAAAATAAAACCCAATCCTTATTTTCTCAATAAATTTACTGTAATATAAAGTTCAAGAGAGTGGAAAAGTACAAGGCAACAGAGTGTCTGAATTTCTAACTTGGTAATACCTCCAGTTCTGTTGTAATTTTCTACTTGTAGACATAAATGAATCAAATTTCCTGTTTGCAATAAAATGTTACATGAAAAAAAAATCTGCTATGATAATTTAGCATAGCAATTTCTAGATTGCCTTATGGCAGTGTATTTTGTCTCTTGTATATTATGTGGATTTGGCAGGCTTACTTGAAGTCTTTGAAGAGGTGTCAAGGGAGTGTTGAATATGACAGTCTGTAATTATGAGAACGGATGACTGATCTGTGAAGTTGCTATTTCTTCCCTTTTTTTCTTTCCTTTTGTGGTGGTACGGCTATTATGGTTTGGCACAATTTCATAAAATGGTGTCAGAGTTGCATAGATGGGTTTATGATTATCTATACCTGAGTACCTTCCAGGGTCCTCTGTATAGCTAGCCTGTCACATGATTTTTCCCTAATATGTCAATATCCCAATTAAAGAATTTAAAAAAAAATGAATATTAAAATCATTGTGCCTGAAAGAGAAAGAAATGGTGAAAATTGCTTGATGATAATGTGACGGTGAAATTTCTATGAACCTTGTTCTATTTTAGTTGTTGCCTAGTTTGAAAAGATAGACTGATTTGATTTTTGAAGGTATCAGGGTGGCATGGTTTTGTACATTGCTTCCTGCAAGCCTGATATCATCTGTTATGAAGCAGTTCCTTAACATCGGGAAATTATCAACTTCCATGATGGATTTCAGTGGCTGGTCAAGACTCCAAACTTGCATGTGGTTTTTACACAGAATCAAAACAGCAGAGCCACAGCTAGTGTGGAATTTCTGTTCAACAGCTAAATGGTGTGTGTGTGTGTGTATTTGCCACTCGTAGTTTATGTTCATCGTGTTTGCAGTCTGTGGCTGTAGAATTCCTTTATGATATTCATGCATTCTGGCAGCTAAGTCTACATGTTTGATCCCTTGGTGGCAAAGCAAGCTGCTTGCCAAAGCCAAATTGAACATGCAATAATCTGCACGAATCTGATAAGCCAGCTTGGGATTTTGTTGATTTTTCATTTGAGTGTGTAAATCTGTGAAGATCTGATAAAGAAATGCATTAATTCTCCTATGCTATCAGACAGCATATGATTCATAATATGATGGCTAGTCTGCCAGGGAATTTATTAGGCCATGTTGATGTAGATTTAGGATTTACTGATAATGATGGTCTATCTGATGTTCTTTCACCAGGTGCATTTGGCACTGTTGTGGTATATTACATTATGGGAAAAAGCTGATCAAATTAGCTCTTGGATTCTGTTCATACTCTACTGGTAATTAGGTCAAATATAAATTTAGGGATCAACCATTTGTATATTACCCACCAATTTGGTGCAATGTTACAAGCAGTAGGTCCCTGGACATTTTTGACATGAATTTTGACTGATAAAATATGAAATAATAATACTGGACTGATAAAAATCTATAGCCTAGTAATTATGACAAAATTTATTTTTGAGCTGCCTTATACCTCAGGGAAGTCTTTTATTAGCTATGAGTTGAAGAAAATCTGTTCACTAAAAGGATAATGCCATTTGTGCCTCCACCTTCTCTTTATTTTTAGTTTGTTGGTGTGAATATGCAATCCTTATGTTGCACATTATAAAGCAAGGGATTTGAAATCAAATTTGTTGCCATGGATTATGGTGCCATTATTTGTAATTTATTGTATTTTGAAAGAGTAAATCCAGAAAATCTGTCGTAGAGTCAGTTGGTAAATAAAGAAGTAGAGTAAAAAAATTGCATGCCCAAGTATGGTTTAAGAAATTGAAGAATTAATGAAGTATAGGATTTTATGAGAACGGGTTTGCCGATATATTGAAGAAGCAGTAGACAACAAAATATGCATTTATAAACTGTGTATGAATAGAATGCATGGAATAGAATGTTTTTGCCATAAAAGCTAAATATAAGTCATGCTACATAATCTGACATAATTATCTTTTTTTACCTCCAAACGTACTGACATTATTTGGCCTGACTCATGTACACCTGTACATATCTACACTATTAATGTAACAAAAAGTAATTCAACTAATTTTAGGCTTAACTGATCTATGCCAGGTGTGAAGAGATAAAAAAAATAATGTTTTTTTGGGGGGAGGGTATTTTGGTGTCAGACCTCAACTGCAACATCGGTGTTGATGGGCCTTATTGAATGTTATAATATAAGAAAGGGTAAAGGTAATCTGTTAGCTTAATCAGACACATCCAGCTGGCTTATATTTTTAGCGTAGACCTATCTTCCTTTTTGTGCATATCTGGGAAAGTGAGCGGTGATTGCCAGTGAAATATTGGCAATTACTTTAATTCAGATTTAAGTAGGAAATAGAAAAATGTTTGTGTCTGGGCCACTTGGGCAGGTTAAGTCAGGAATAAGGAAAAAGGAAGGAAATGCTATATAACTCTAGAATGCAGGACCAAAATTGAACTGCAGTCTAGGTATGCGCTATCAGTAGCTTTTCACCTAATGCTGAAAGATAAACCAACTTGGCTGATAAAAATGGGGAAATACTTAATATTTTTTGCAAAATTGAATTTATAATTGATTGGGACCATAAACTTAATGCTATGAAATATATCCAGGTATTCTGCTTATAACACTTATTCTAAGGGAGTTCTTTTTCTAACTTCTTTTTAAATAAACCTGAATTTAAAAGACAAATGAAGACATCCTTCTAAATAGAAAGTTAATGAAGCAGTCTCAATGCTGTATTCACTCTTGAATTTGTGCAAAGTTGTATATATTTTAACTAACAGGGAGTGGTATATCAAGGATAAAACAAGCATAAGAAAAAAAGGAATAACATGATATTGTTCAACTCGTGCCTGCATTCAATTAAACATTTTTATTTATTCTTATGCATATTATAAGAGATCTAGTGAAAAATTAAGCATTGACTTACAGAATAATATGAGTATGACAGAAGCAGTGTTGTTTGCTTATCACTTAAAAAATGAATGCTTTGTTCCAGGTGGGAAGAAAGGCGTACTGCAAGTGGAAGGGTCCATTACATAAACCATGTCACAAGAACTACACAGTGGGAAAGACCAACAAGGTGAGAAAAAATATGATTTAAAAGAAGATATGAAATAATATATGATTTGTTAGTGTAGAGGAAAAAAATGTAATGATTTGCAAGTGTAGTGATCAAATTAAGCAGACCTGTGTAGTCTGAAGGTTAGGTACTGTTTAAAAGAAAATGGTCTTTCAAACCTTGTTTGTGAAGATGTGAAAAGAATAAGGGCATTTAGTTCATACATGTATTTCTGTCTTAAGTATCAGTCATAAATTATGATTTAAGTCAATAAATTTTATGTTTTGTAAATACAGCTGATATATGATGGATTACTTACATAATTTTCAAACCAATGATATGGAATCTTTGGGGTTACTGACATGACTTACAAAATAGGTTATTATGGACATTGTTTAAAGATAGATGTTTTTATTTGAGTAGAGACATTTTACCTTAAAATGATTTATACAGCATGCTGGTATATGACTGAGAATCTAATAATTATCAGAATTAATTAAATGTTTTATGATAATGTCACCTAGACATATAAATAACAGCACTTTGCTTCATTCTGAAATATGTGACTGGCAGGAGAAAAGGTTAGTACTCATTTTGAGTATTTTCATACCAATTAAGTGGCAATACTACAACTGCTAGTTGTAAGTTAATGGTATTTTATACCTGTTGATTAGGATGAGAAGTTAGTGTTTCAAGGAGAGATGTTTCAAGGGTTTGTTAAAAAGTAATTTTGTCTCCAGTGTTCAGATTTCTTTCATGTATTTTTCATTTCCTGATCCTTTTTTCCTCTTTTGGAAATAAGATATTCTATTGGCATCAAAAACTATTGATACTGTGCTCTCTATAGAACTTTTCTTGATAAGAACTTATTACCCTGACAGACTTTCTATGGTTTTGAAAGAAAGCCAAAGGACAGTTCATATTATTGTGGATCAATATGTGTCATGTACAAGACTTTCTCATTTCCTTTCACGTGCATAAATTGCATTTTCGTTGGCAAATGATTACGGGGAAATAAGAAGATAACCTCAAAAGTCTGTATCGGTGCATGGATGCCTTCCATTTCATTCTGTCGCTTTGTTTTCTGTGAATGCCAAAGTGAACAAAATTGAATAGCGCTATTCAGGTCATAACAGGCGAATTGAAATGTTAAATCTTGTCAGACCTTTACAGGCAGTGATTTCAGTTACTACTTTCTATATATCAGCTTTTTTTTTTTTCTTAATGTTCCTGAAGTAAATCAATATGATACTGAATTACAATGAAGTTTGCCTGCAGTATTATAATGATATGATTATCTGTGCTGTTATGTGTCGAAAATCACAAAGCATTTAAAAAAAATTTCAGGTGAAGTAACCTACCTACTAGTTTTATGCAATACTAGAAAGAAATATGCCCTTTAAAGCTTAGATGTCAAAAGTGGATAGATCATCTCCTTTATCCCCTTCATCTTTTCTAAAGGGGGGGGGTATTATTTCACTGCATAAGCCATATAATTTGATTATTTTGGTCAGAAGGAAGTATATTTGATTTGGCAGTTGTTAATATCTGAGATTTGGACAACCCTCAATCCTTCTCAAGATGATTAGATAGATATGTAAATCTCTTCCTCTAATCTGACTGCTGTTGTAAGATATATAGAGAGCTTAGGACTTGCCTCGGGCTCAATATAGTTCAATGTGTTGCTGAGCATTGTTCTGCACGTGCTAAGGCCAGCTGCCGCAATATAGGAGAGATTTTATTAACTGGTCTCTAATTGCTTAAGTGATATATATGTGTATATAAAGGAGAGCTTGATGCAGGAAAGCTATAGGTAACATCACCTAATTGTGCGGACAAAGAAAGTACAAAGGTTAAGCATAGAAGACAAAGGGCTTTTGTGTAGACTAACTGCGGGCACATTTGGGGACAGACTTGGTGGACGGTGGTGACTGCAGCACAGGACATAACAATGCTGGTGCGGAAACACAGAGGAAGCCACAATTTGTTACATCCGAAGCTCCCACTGGAGGGCTTTTGCCATGTGGAGCTTACTTTGTACAGGTAGTTGAATGAATCAAACATGGCAGAGTACTTAATGGAAAGAAACTAGTGTTTGTTTTTATTGGGTGTGCCCCACAGCTAGATGGACATGTGAGTGTTTGGGTTAAATATGATTGCTATCTGCAAGTCACATGTGAAGGGTGTCTTCTAGGTTATGGTAACAAAGAGGGAAGATCAATATAGATTTAAAAAAAAGGTCCATTAGAAATTTCAGAATTAAGTCCATTGTACATTATGTGCATATTTAAGCCACATTTGATTACAGCATTGACAATATCACAGTAGGTAAAATGAGTAGGTACCATAAGCAATTAGATGACACACTGCCACAACGGAAACTCATTAAAATACCACTTATCACAAGTAAATAACTACTGTTAGTAGCCTTTGGAAGGCCATTATCAGTCAAATAAAAAGTGATATAAATGACTTTCATATATATTCCGCCCTGATAAAATGGTACCAAATGTAGGGTTTCAAATGATTTTATTTTGTATGATGTGTAAAAAATCTTTAGATGTTTAAAACTGTTTCAACTGTATGGAAATGCTTGGGTGATGACAAAGGGGAGTGACATTTTAAAGTGCCCACAAGTCACTGTTATGTGGCAGGTGGTACAAACTGAAATAACAAAGAGGAAGATGACCCCTCATCAGGTTAAGGGCAGTGGCATAAGATTTCAGCTACCATTGAAAAATATATGATTTGGTACCATCTTAAACCTTGTGTATTTGCTTCTTTTTAAAAGGAAGATATTTTAAAGGATAGGAATGTAGTGGATGTTAAAAACAGCTGTGGTAATTGAACTTGACTTTTGGGTGCATAAATGATGTAGAGTAGTGTTTTCTTCTTTTTTTTTGTAAGGAACTGTTTTAACACACATATTAGAGTATGTTGCATAAATAGCTTTGAGTGTGCCATTTATATTGCTTTCCCCCCTTTACAATTCTGAAATATGATGATTGTAGATAATTGTTTCTTTATTTTAGGCCTGCTGCAGAATGTGTTGCTGACCGTGCTTCACGGCGGTTAAGCATGAACATCAATTCTTCGTCATCCTCATTAACTAATCAAAACTCAGGTGCTGGCTCATCATCATTATCATCATCATCATCGCCGTCTCAGCAGCAACAACAGCAACAACGTCTAACTAATGGCAGTAGCCCTGGCAATGGAGCCAGTACAGGCGGCAGTGGCAGTAGTAGTTCTAACAATACAAACAATGCAACTAGTCCAAGTGGCGGGTCCAGCAGTAACGCTGGCAGTGAGCGGGGTAGTTCCCGACGCAGGTCCACAAGGCATCGGAATTATCTCAACAGATCTCATTTAGTACAGGCAGTGGAGTTGCCTGATGGTTATGGTAAGTAACTATATGATACCTTGGATGTAAAAGGCGAAGTTACCTTTGGGATAAAGCAAGACAAAATGAGTTCACCCTAAGTAACTGATGGATATGGAATCAGACATGCAGCAACCCAGCAGGCAATATTGTGACTTGATTGGACCATGTGGATCTTGGTTCAGATTTAGTATGGATAAACTGGCTTCGTTGCATTCCATTTGGTCTGAATTTTGTTAACATTGAGTGTAAGGCACCCTGTAATAAGTTGTTTGTTATTTTGGCAGTCTAAAATGTGAGAAGATAAAACAAGGCATTGGAACAGTAGTACAAGTGTGCGTGTGTATAAAATGCTTTACATGGTTTAACCTTTTGGGTGCTTGTATAATGAAGGTAATTTACTGATAAGACCTTTTCATCCCTGAAATTTACCTTTTTAAGTTGGGAATTCACATAAAAGCCAAACTTAACACACCCTGGGTAAAGGGAGATATTAAAAAAAATCACATCACAGCTACGAGCTTTAAAAAATTCAAATATAGGCTTTAACTTCCTGCATATGATGGTTTGCATAAAAAATATTTCTTTTATCTAAGGTTTGAAGTTTTAATATTTTGTTTAATAGAATTAGAAATAGACAAGTATGAAAAAAAGCTACATAAAAAAATAAGTTTACCAAACAGTGATGGTATAAGTTGATTGAACATTGTCTGAGAAACTGATGGGCATTAAGAGTTCATACCATCCTCTCTCATGGTTACTTGAGTGCAGTGGTGGATGAATTATTTAGCAGGTATGCACTGTAATTACCTGCACTACGATACAAGCCGTTTCAATCTTGCAAATGTACTCCTCACACACAGCTCTACAGTCTTGTGGAAATGAACCACATAATTAATATAAGATAGATATGAACTTTCTGCACTATGAAAATTGGCTAGTGATCTGCTTCTTTTTGGTATTGAAATAATTACATAGTACTTGTTTTATAGTTGAACTTGAAAGAAAAAGATATTATTATGTTGTCCTTTCACTGTTTATTAAATTATTTGAAATCTTTGTCTATTTTTGCAATTGTTTTTCAGAACAAAGAACGACCCAGCAAGGCCAGGTGTATTTCCTCCATACCAGCACTGGAGTCAGTACGTGGCATGATCCCCGAGTCCCACGGTAAGATCCACACTACAGCACGTGTGCATCTCACAATGCCCAGCTAAAGTTTTTATCAGACAAAGAATGTATCTGACTGGCAGTTGGTCCATGTCGGTTTATCTGACTTCTAAATCCCAGATATATATTACAGAGATCCTCTTAAAATTGTCTATTTATTTGATCTCTTGATTTTGAGTGCACTGGCTTGATAGCTGCTAAAGTATACAGTTCTGAAAGATTTATGAGAATGAAAAATGTACTAGTGTGACACATATTTTTTAAGCGAAACCTTATAAAAATTGAATGCATAAAGCATCACTAAGAATTCTTCAAAGTCTACGTAGCATCCCACATAAAGACTAGATGAAAGATTCCACGTTGCAATATTAATGAAGATCACAGTCCTCACTGTCTCTATCGCTCAAGTGTATTCTCAGAAAAAACAACCTTGCAATGTCCTAATTACCCAAAGCATGCTAAGACTACATCTTCAGCAGGGCTGGAAAATTGTTTTCTGCTTTGTCTGTGATTCCGCTAATTCCCATTTCTGAGAAATTTTGATGAGATGGTTCTTATTGACGTCGTCTTGTTTGGAAAGCCAAGTCGGAGAAATTGTTTGCACTGTTACTTCATGATATGACAAAAAAAAAAGGATTGCATTATAAGAGTTTTAAAAAAAGTTTTCCTCTGACCACTAAATATAATAGATTTTGCCTCCCCCCCCCCAACCCCCCCAATTTTTGCAGGTCAGCCCCTAGTCACTTAGATATCTTATTTGGCCTTGATCACCAAACAGACTTTTAATTGGAAAAAATATATTGATAACAATGTTCAAATCATTGTAATACAGTGTACTTGCTGCATAACAGCTTTGAATCACATCTCTTGTTAGAGTGACGTCTTTGCACAGGTGTTACATTTTCTCTGCTTGTTATGACTTGATGACTTTGATGTATAATTTGGGTAAAATCACTTCTACATAGGGCAGCGTGGTTCAGATAATTATGAATTATTGAGAATGTACATTCTGGTGTACCAACCATCTCTTTGAATCAATCAATTAGGCCACCAAGTGGTAGCAAGTGCTTAATTAGTAAGTCTTGGTTAAAAAAAATGTGATTATGACTTGTCGAAAGTACTTTGATAAATTATGTATTAAGTGAGGTCAGAGGTTATTAAAACTTCAGTGGAAAGAGGGCAAGTAAACAGTCCGACATCAGATGATTTTGAATGTATTGAAAAATTTGAAATATCTGATATAAAGATCTGGACTACTTTTAGACTACTATTATTGTGTTCAACTAGGGAAACAAAGTTTTTTAAAGCATAACTTAATTTCATCCAGGAGGGAAGAGATGGTTCTATACTGCAACTGCATTTAGCAGCAGATTGTGCTTGTAGAAGCGCATTAATGCTTTCATCAATATCCTAATACTAATTTGATTACTGTATGAATAATAGTATCAATTAAAGGAGACTGATGTTTAATAAGATCCTAGTTTCATAATTAGCAGCTTGGTTTTTAGCTTGTGTTTAATTTGGAGCACAGACAGCTGTGACATTTGCAATTTTCCTTGTTATGACTTTTTTTAATTGCCTCCGTGTTCATTACGAACATTGTCAGTGTTATAGGACGTTATTTTCAGTTTTGGACTGTATAAATCTTATGCTAATGGTCCTTTGTCCAGTTCTGTGATTACCTATTATTCTTACTTATGATGTTGTCACTTTGGTTATCAGGTCATTTTAATTTGCTGTAATTTGAATTTTCATCCTTGGCATCATCTATTTTTATGTCAGAGATTGAATATTGATTGAATTATCATGGGTAGCTGCTGTCAACACTCAAGTGCCTGGCTGCTTGCAAAATGGAATTATGATACAGACTTGTCATAATGCTAAATTTATTACTCTTTGTCCCCTTGTATTACCATATGAAATGAGTTTAAATAGGGTCATATTTGAGATAGATGCCATGAAATTGTTAAGTTATGCAACCAACCTACAACTGGCCTAGGTGTTTTATTATTATTTTTCTTGTTTTGGAACTTGGTTTATTTATAAACATACTTAATTCTATGTAATGAATACAGGTATTTTCAGTTAGAAGCTTTACAATATTCACGAGTATTTTTATTTACAAATACAAAGGAGTTGTAATATAAGGAATTGTAGCAAGATTTTCCTCTAAATAGTGTTAAGGGGTAACATATTATAACTTAAAATTATTTCCAGAATAGATCCTTTTCTCTCTTGATGATTTTAAGTTTGAAAAGTTAGTTTAAAATAGAACTGACTTTTTTTCACTAAAAGCTGTGTGAGAAGAATGCACATTTTCTACTCAAGACCCTATTAGAAAGAGAGAATAACATAAATAACAAAATAAATACCCTAATCTTGGCAGCACTGCCTGACACCAGTTCATTTGGTGTAGATGATTCACACTATGTAAGAGAATCCAGTAAACAGAGCCAGACTGAAGAATAACCTAGACTTAATGCAGGGATGGGTTTTGAAGTGTTTTCTAGTTGGTAATTAAAGTAATTTAATCACAATTTGTGGGTTTCATCTGATAGACAAAAAAAAAAATTAACTGAAAAAAATATCAAGAATTTTCAAAAGCATATGTTCAAAGAAAAGGAAAATGAGTACACTGGAAAATTGCATTTGTCATTAACAAATTTTGCTATATGGATGTTTCTTTTTGTCTAGGGATCTCCCCACACAGCTAACAGAGGAGGAGCTAGGTCCACTTCCCCCAGGCTGGGAGCTGAGGAATACTGCCAATGGGAGGGTCTACTATGTAGATCATAATAACAGGACAACTCAGTTCACAGATCCCAGGATATCACAGAATCTAGCTGCCATTCAGCAGAGGATGTAAGTTGAAAAATGGTTGTTGATTGTGTTGTAACAGTGGACCATTTTGTTTAAGTACTTTAAATTTGTAACCATCCTTAATTCTGTGGTAATAGTGGGTTATTCTATTGGAATGTTTTAAGTTTTGAGGATAGTTAAGTTTAGTTATCGTAGCAATATGTGTCAACTACAGATGGCTGTATGCCAAGGTTTTAATTAGGTAGATTTCCTGGTCAAACATAAGTTTCAGTTTTTTTATGTTTTCCTTTTCTGATTGTTTATTCAAGTATTTGCTTCATCTAAATGTTTTTTGGTGTCTAGTGCTCTTTCGTCTTTTCTTCCAGACAAAATAATAACAAAGAAAACGAATCACCAGTACCTAAATATAAAAGGGACCTTGTACATAAACTGAAAATTTTAAGACAAGAACTTCAGCAGACCCAACCTCAGACAGGACATTGTCGAGTGGAGGTCTCCAGAGAGGAAATATTTGAGGTACTAGTCTACTACTACTATCAACAGCACAGTTGGATGTGATTTATGCAGTAATTTTAAAGCATCCTGGACCTTCAAAATTTTTTCATTTTGTTTGTGTAATTTAATTGTAGTGAATTATCATGGGTAGCTGCTGTCTACACTCAAGTGCCTCATTGCTTCCAAAATGGAATTATGATCCAGACTTGTCATAATGCTAAATTTATTACTCTCTGTCCCCTTGTATTACCATATGAAATGAGTTTGAATGAGGTTGTATTTGAGATAGATAACATGAAATTTTAAAGTTTGTGTAATTTAATTGTAGTGATTCATCACTTACATGCAGATGCTCGCAGTGAAAATATTTACCTTCATGGAATACGCTCAGAATATGAAAACCAGCCATATGTTTTAACAAAGGAAAAGTATTTGACTATTAACAAGCTAGGGTTTTTTTTCCTAAAGAGGTTTATGGTTTTCAGAGCACCCCAAGTGTTTATAACATGATCACTGTGGTCCACATTCCAAAAACATCCAACATTGCCAACAATAACTTAAGTCAAGACTGAAGGGTAATGATTCTTGGAGTCGTTAGTAAGACTTGTTTAGCCCATAAGCCAAATGTTTGAGTGTGGATCACTGATCTTAGGGCCCATTAAGACAACTGTGCTGAATAATATTTGCACAGGGTCACATAGTATATGAGGTATTTCTCATGTAAATGAAGGTGCTTATGAATGTATCAAAGTAGTGCCTTCTACTCTTTCAGAAAAAGATTGTCTTAATGTATCAGAAAGTTCATTCAGAAATGAATAAAAAAAGTTATGTAACAGAATGATATTATGGAAGTAAATTTTGTGTGCTTAAATGAAGTGTGTGTTTTTGACAGGAGTTATTTGTAAGATCTCTTTTGCCTATGTTGTGGATAATCTGTAGTTTTAGATGCTGTATTTGACTATGCTTTTAGGATTTTAATCTAAAATCTTGTTCAAATTATTATTATTATTATTATTAATATTACTTTGCAGGAGTCCTACCGACAAGTGATGAAAATGCGACCCAAAGATTTGAAAAAGAGACTTATGGTTAAGTTTCGCGGTGAAGAGGGTCTAGACTATGGGGGTGTGGCCAGGTAAGGAAACATTGTTAAATATTGCTAGAAGTTAGTTACTGGTTTCATCCTTTAGGTTCAAGGTTTCTATGTTATTCTATTTGATAAACAGAAGAAAAGTTTAAGCTATATAAAACCTTCACTGAGATTTTTAAAAGGATGAGGTGTTGTATACCTGTAAGTTATTGCTGTAATAAATTTGTTTATAATAGCAACACATTGATGTCCTTAATTTTCATACATTTGGATACAACATAAGCTTTGTCATATTATATTTCATTTAACTCTCAGCACAGATGCAGCCAATGTAACAATCCAAATAGTGCAGAGTTACAATACAAATACCCTGGCCATTATCTCACTGTTCAAACACCAGCAAGCTTCCACTTTACTTCCTATAAATCATACTGCACATAACATGTCTGCCATGTATTGATTCTTCATTACGTGGAATCTCCCCCTAGCTAAAAGCTCTTGCTGTGATTGATGGGTGTCTGTTCTTTCTGTCGAATTCCAGGGAGTGGCTGTACCTCCTTTCCCATGAAATGCTCAACCCTTATTATGGCCTTTTCCAATACTCAAGAGAAGACATTTACACACTGCAGATTAATGCAGATTCGGGAGTTAATCCGGTGAGTACAGCTTGCATTACATGGCCCAGCAGTCATAAGTTGGGCAATCTTAGTAATCACCCCCTGGGGATTGATTCTCAGACTTTTGGAATCAATCAGGGCAGCCAGGAGGTAACAGATGCACGTCTTCTATGTAAAAAGATGAGACCCTGCGTAATTGATTGAGGTGTAAGCCGATGCAAACCAAGAGTCTGATCTTTCGTTACTGACAGACATGCATGGTGAGGATGACCTCTAGGCCAGGTTATATGCACCTTGGGATTATACACTTAGATTGTAGAATGTAAGGAATGATTGACATAATATCAGAAAAGATATGAAAGCATTGGCAGTTAATTTTTGGTATTTCTCACTTCAATGGCAAGTGATACATGTATGTATATTTACCCCAGTTATCCATTTTATATTGAGTAATAATTTTCACTTATTAAACCTCAATTCCTAAAATTTCCAGGAGCATTTGTCCTACTTCCATTTTGTGGGTCGTATCATAGGAATGGCCATCTACCATGGCCACTACTTGGACGGAGGTTTCACTCTTCCATTCTACAAGCAGCTCCTAGGAAAGCCTATCACATTAGAAGACTTGGAGACAGTGGATCCTGAACTACACAGGAGTCTTTGTTGGATGTTGTAAGTTCAGATTTCAGATAGGATAAGATTTTCAAACACAATTGTATTAATTGCATTTCATACATTCCCTGGAGTTGATTAGGGTTTAATTTGAGAGAATTGCACAGCTCACATTTCATATCATTTCTTTTTCAGAGAAAATGACATCACAGAAGTTATCCATAATTCATTTAGTGTAGAGCACAATGCCTTTGGTGAGATCCAGGTCCATGACCTGAAGCCAGAGGGGAAGGATATTCCAGTTACAGAAGAAAATAAAAGGGAATATGTCAGGTAGGAAATACTTTCTTTATACCGCGTGAGAAGTCTTTACTTAAAAAAACAATGACCTTTTTAGAACAGAATTGTATTCCTTTTACTCATGATATAACATGCAAGATGTTTTTTATGGGTAATGATGGCACGTTTTATTGAATTTTCAGACCTTTTTAATATACATTAACATAGTGTCCAGTATTATATAATAATTAAATTAATGACATATTTTTGAAAATAAATTATTGATGGCATTTATCATATTTTGAATTGGGGATTTAATCCGAGTTTATTCTTCTTCAGGTTATATGTGAACTGGCGGTTTATGAGAGGAATTGAGGCTCAGTTTTTAGCTTTACAAAAAGGCTTCAATGAACTCATACCACAGCATTTACTCAAGCCTTTTGATGATAGGGAACTAGAGGTAGGAGATGACCCAGGTCATCTTTACATTAGTTTTACACTGTTTTAAACAAATCTATAAACAAGGGGCGTAGAAAAGAATCAGTCCAGCATTAAGTTGTAACGTCAAGGAAAGATTAGATAAGAGGTCTTGTTGAATTTTAACAACAAAAACTTGTTGTGTTCTTACAGCTTATGATTAGTGGGCTGGGAAAAATAGACTTAGAAGACTGGAAACTCCATACACGGCTAAAACACTGCACCCCAGATACCCCAATAGTCAAGTGGTTCTGGAGGGCTGCTGATGAATTTGATGAAGAAAAAAGGGCAAGACTCCTGCAATTTGTCACTGGCAGTTCAAGAGTGCCTCTCCAAGGCTTCAAAGCTTTACAAGGACTGCTTGGTAGGGGTCTTGATGTTCATTTATTTATAACCACTTGGTTGTTGTCTCACCAAATGTCTTATCAATAAAAACCAAATGCTCATTTATTTTATGTGAATGTCAGATATGACCCTTAAAATGATTATTGTTGATTTGTTTTTTACGTATTTTGGCACAAGTATAATTTTACAATGACCTTAAAATATATAGTTCTTTAAATACTGCACTAGAACTATGGTAATGCTTGGTATACTAAACCAGAACTGCAATACATTCCACCCTTGAGGTGTTTAATAACTCAAATTATATTTTTATGTAAAGTTACTTAATATTTACTCCCTTACTCTTTTACCTTTTTTATTAGCATCAGTTATACACATATATAAAAAAAAATGTCAAATTTAATTTATTGAAACTGGTTATATTTCCCCAGGTTCCACAGGTGCCTCTGGTCCCAGGTTGTTTACCATTCATTTGGTGGATACCAACACAGACAACTTACCTAAAGCTCACACATGGTAGGATGATAATACTAGAGTGTTTCCTGTAATGAAATATTTCCATAATGCAATTATTTGTTGAGTTGTGCTTGCACCAAGCACAGAACTCAGTAATGATAGTAGTTGTGCTGCCATAACGAAGTGTTCAAATGGGAATTTTATTGCCTGAGAATTGCGAGAATTGTGTTATGTTTTTGAAAACCATAATGACATTAAATTTTCTTCTTTACAGTTTCAATAGGATAGACATCCCTCCGTATGAGAACTATGAGAAACTGCTAGAAAAATTGACTTGTGCTGTGGAGGAAACATGTGGCTTTGCTGTAGAATGATAAGAGCAAGAAGATATTGAGGGTCTGTCTTGCATATCTTCCCCTGTCACATGATGTATTGGCACCCTACTAGACGGTCACACTTGTTAGAGGAAGGATTGACGTGTGACGGGCATCACGAGATACTACCCATTTTGTTGATGTTTTGGCAGTGAGAAAGGCATATTGTTTTGACAATACTTCCGGTATGCTTCAGTGACAACAACTATGTAGAGGTGTGATGTTGTGATATGCTGTGGCAATGAAATCGCAGTATTGCAAGCAAAGGGGGAGGATAACACAGGCGGAGGAGGAGGAAGAAGTGGATGTTTACATGTACCTCACTCACATACACACAAGTGGTGAGAGCGACCACTTGTTTCACAATGCCAGTGCACAGATGTCAAATCTTTTGTTGTCTTGCTCGAATATTTTTCTCAATCCCCCTTCCCATAGTTTGTATTAAAAAGGTTGTGCTCAGAAGCTAAATGCTTAGCAATGTCAGCCTGAATGCAGTGCCCTCTCGACCTATATGCTGAACATTTAGTGACTTCATAATTAGGGATCTGATGATGAAAAGGACTTTTAGCGGCATTTTTCTTTGATATATTTTCATACACAGTGGAGAGACTTGGGATGACACCTGTCTGTTTACACTGCCCACTGCTCTCGCAGTTGACTTATTTTCAGTCAAGGGTTGAATAATATCTTAATATAAGAAATGGACAGTTTAATAAATCATCTGCCATAGGGTTATTTTGATTAATCCTAGGAAAAAAAATGTAGCATACAAAGGCATATACTTATCATTATACTTTTGTACATTGTTCGAGTCCAGTAAATCGGTGCCTACTTGAACAGAATGTCACCAGTCATATGGTTGATATCGTCTTCACCATCATCGTCATCATTATCGTCATCATCATCATTGTGCAGCTTAAGTTTGCACATTTGGATTGAGCACAAGAATAGCTGCCTCTCACCCCCCCCGACCCCCCGCCCCCCCACCCCTTCTCTGCATGCTGCAACTAAAGCAATGCAAGTGATGGAGAAGTATATGTTGGTCTTCAGCCTTGAGCTAGATGTACTGTTTTCCAAGGTGCTGTTGAGTATTGTGAATTTTTTTAANATGTGAAGTTGTGTACATGAAATATTTAAATGTCTATCTAAAGCATCGTCATTAATTTGGGGGGGTGGGGGGCAAGTACACATCTCTTGGATGGAGGCTTCTCCACTGGATAGCCACATGCCCTACTGAATATACTTTAGGTGGACATTGGAATATTGGAGGTTAACAGTTTCAGTTCTAGCTATTTACTGAAAAAATTTACTGTTTATTCTCAGATTTAAAGCCAGAAAATGCACTTGGATTCTTGAAAGAAATTGAAGCAGTTACAAAAAAAAAAGGTTGCTCAATTGGTTGATTGAAGAACTAATGTGAAAGATTTTTATGTACAGACACAGATGTGTACATTAGCCGTCACCTGCATCTGTCGTCGCTATTGCCGTCATTGTGCACTTTTACCGCTAACACGATAAGTGGAAAACCATTTTACTTTTTGGCTTGAAACTTCTAGAACTGATGAATAGTCAAAATACGCAGGCCAAGTTCGAAAATCAGGATGATTGGGCCATTTTTTATAAAAGTTATGCTGTTTTTTCAGTTTTTTCAGCATTTATGCAACACTGATAACATGATAACTGGAAAATCATTTTTCCTTTTGGATTGAAACTTACAGAACTGATGAATATCCATAATATGCAGGTCAAGTTAGAAAATTGGCATGATCTTGCCATTTTTATAAAAGATTGCTTTTTTTTTTTCACTTTTTTCAGCATATATGCAACACCTATAACACATTTTAAGGAAAATTGATTGGCCAATTGTCTTGAAATTCACAGGAGTGATCAATGTTACTGAAATACAGATTAATTTTTAAAAATAAGCTTGATCAGGTACATTTTGGTGAAGTTATGCCTTTTTTTGTATATGTTTTTTCCTCAAATTTAATTCTCAGGCATGTTAACAGTCTCATTTTTGAACTAATTAGATATGTAAAGTTTTTCTTTTGACATGTTAGTTGATTATTTAAAAATGATGGTAAACCTGTTATTGTGTATTGTGTAATAAAGTGTCAAAAATGGGAAAAAATGATATCTTTACAGTTTGTCACATTCAATCATTCACTATGTTCAGAATCTCAGAATGGAGCAAATTGGACATTTTAAATTGTTCCATTGATATTTTTCTTATGTCAACAATTTTTTTTAGTTGATCATTTAAAAATGACAGTAAATTGATTATTTTGTTTTATGTAAAAAAAGGTGCTGAAAATGGTAAGAAAATCAATTCAGTACAGTTATCTCTTGTTTACATTTTGGCATTTTGAAAGTGTGACTCTGAACTTCCACGGCCTTGAAGACCTTCCCATATCACATTTTCTGAATATCCATAATACTTTTATTTTATTATTAAACATTGATGGTCATTATGCTGTTAAGCATTATATAATATTGCATCAAAATGGAAAAAAAAATATTTTGGACACAAAACCATGGTACTTACTGAAAAGTGCAGCTTGTGTTGGAAAATCAGTGTGATTGTTTTCTGTTTTGTAAGCAATGCAGTTCTATAGAGTGCTATATGATGGTACTGTATGGATGGCAGTCAGTATGAAAGTGTCCCTTGGGTGATCACTAATTAGATTAAGGTCTATAAAGTCTCTTGTTTACATTTTGGGATTTTGAAAGTGTGACTGAAATTCCATGGCCTTGAAGACCTTCCTATATCACATTTTCTGAATATCCATGATACTTTTATTTTTTTATAAAAAAAATGATGGTCATTATGCTGTTAAGCATTATGTTAAATTGCACCAAAATTGAAGACAAACCTATTTTGGTCACTGCCTCCATAGTGACCATTTAAAGAAAACCATGTCACTTACTCTTCTCAAACTTACAGAAAAGTTGCATAGGACTAAAATGTAGCTTCAGTTGGAAAACCTGTTTTATCAATTAACTTTTCTGGAAATTATATAGTTTTTTGTGAGAATTAAAATTTTCACATAAGGACATTTTCAAGATGTGACTTTGAACTTCTGTTGGCTTGAAGACCACTGCTAATTATGTTTTCTGAATATCCATGATACTGTTACTATATTATTATAAATTGATGGTCATTATGCTGTTAAGCATTATGTTAAATTGCATGAAAGTTGAAGAAAACCCCATTTCGGACACTGCTGCCAGGATAGCAATTACTAGTAAGGGAAAACCATGTTACTTATGATACTCATACTTACAGAAAAGTTTTATAGGTCTGAAGTGCAGCTTGTGTTGGAAAATCAGTGTGATTGTTTTCTGTTTTGGAAGCAATGCAGTTCTGTAGAGTGCTAAATGGTGCAATAAATGTATATGGATAGCGCTCAGTATGTTATTGCCCCCTGGGTCATCACTAGCTAAATTCAGGGTTATAGAGTAATTTGCTTAATTAATTTTCAAGTGGCCATTTAATGAGATTACATATAACACACGTTGAGATTTCTTTGTAAAGTCCTATAGGTTTAGCTCTCTTAACTGTGTCACATAATTAGGAAACGATGATAATTATGCAGGTAAATGTTGTTTTATATTGAAAATAAGCTTACAAAAGAAAAATTTTGTGTAACGCTTACATTAATGCTAAAGATGAATAACAGTGCCTTATTCTCAAATTCAATAAGGTTATTCATATCATGTTTATAGTTATACAGCTAGATTAAAAGTTTGAATAGCATGTTTTATTTTACATTTTTTTAAAATTATTTTTCAAACACTAGCATCTTCAAGATGTCACTTTTAACTCCCATCCACCAGAAGCATTGTACATTTTCTGTATTTCCACATTAGCAGTTGTGTTGCTTTTTATGTCTTTAAGCATTGTGTAATATTATTTTAGGTACTGTCATCATTTTTCACATATTGGGATTTTCATTATGTGAATTTGAACTCTCACATGTGGTCCTGAAAATGTAATCTTATTGGCCATGTTATTCTGTTGTACATTTTTGTGAAATATTTATCTTTCACATATTGGCATTTTCAGTGTGGGACTTATAACTCCAAAGAGCATGTAACAGTTCACTTTTATTGATACTACCTGTTGTGCAATATTTGCAACTTGACTTTGCAGTTAAAAGGGATAATAACTGTTTGTTCTGGCAAAAAATGATTTTTTTCTAAAAAGTTTTTTTGTTATAATCTCTTAAGAGATTATTACAGAGTTTATCTATGGAGGTCACATGGTCTGATGACAAGTTCAGATATCAGAATAATAGCTATGACTGCCATTTTGTGCTAAAACAAAATAAATTATATTTCTGTGAGTTGTTTACACTGTTTAAACTCAAGTCGGATGATTCATATCATGGTAATACAACTAGACTGAATGGCAGCTTTAGTGGAATATTTTTGTAATTTTTCTTTTTTTAATTTTTAATTTTTCAAACTGGCATTTTCAAGATGTGACTTATCACTCATCCACCAGGAGCCCTGGGGCGGTATTCTCGAAGCTATCGAAAACGAATTTTTCATCGAATCCTAATCGAATCCGAAAAATCGGTATTCTGGAAGCTATCGAAAATTTTTTCATCGAAATTGTTAACGAAATTTTCGATGAAAATTTCGACAGCCCCAGCGTTGTCGAAAGCTCATCGAAAGCTCGTCGAAACTAAATGCGCATGCGTGGTAGGTCATACTATGGGTACTATTCAGCACCGATGATATCATAACAACGATAGCGATGGCTGCGTATCTTCTGCTAGTCGGACGAGGAAGAAATGGAAGGAGAGTGGTGGCGCAGCGCCGTAGCGATCCTTTGGACTCATTGACTGACGAGGAGGTTGTATCCAGGTATCGCCTGAACAGACGGGGGATCCAGAAACTGGTGCAGTTGATTGGAGGTGGCCTAGAGAGACCAACCAAGAGGTCAAAGGCACTGACACCGTTGCAGCAGGTTCTGACTGCCTTAAGGTTTTTTGCCACTGGGACCTTTCAGTCAGCAATCGGTGACCTGCACGGTATCAGTCAGCCGGCGGCTTCAAGGGCAATCTCTGCTGTGGCAGCTGCAATCGCTGCATCAGACGACCCTGAACTTGCTGTGTCTTTCCCACATGACCCAGTGGATGTGAGAAGAACACAGCAAGAGTTATTCAGGGTCGCTGGGTTTCCCAGAGTTCTGGGATGCCTGGATGGAACCATGGTCCCTATACTGGCTCCCCATGATGATGAATACTTGTACGTGTGTAGGAAGGGGTATCATGCCATTAATGTTCAGGCAGTGTGTGATGCCCGTCTCTTGTAAGTAGAACCTTTTTTATTCATATTTACATAGATCTACATTTAGAAAAAACTGACAAAGTATTTTATTATAAGAAGTATTTAGGGAAAAAAACTAAGAAATGATTTTATTGTTTACCAGTCAGATATTAAAACAAAATAACAATTTATTGTTAAAAGCCCAGACAATTTGATTTGTGATTTTTTGTGTATATACTAAATATAGTAGAAAAAACTGTAAATTTTTGCCTATGTATGAAAGTTACTTGACATAGAAACCCCCAAAAATTAATTTCATAGGAAAATCACTAAGTGTTGCCTTGTTTTTCAGGTTTACTAATGTTGTGTGCCAGTTTCCAGGCAGCACACATGATTCATTTATATGGAGGCAGTCTGGCCTGGGGACTGCATTTGAGTCAGGGGATATGCCATCTGGGTTTATCCTCGGTGATTCAGCCTATGTGTTGAGGCCTTGGCTGATGACACCAAAATTACATGTGGCATCAACTGCGGATGCTGCATACAATGCGGCACATATGAAGACGCGTAATCTCATTGAGCGTGCTTTTGGTGTCTT